CACGTCGGAAATGTACGGTAAATGGTTGTAACAGAGAGGAGGGTCGTGTCGTTGTTGTGACAGATTGTCCAACAGGTTGTCTATTTACTCTCCCAGGTTTTCTCTGTTTTGACCTGTGTCCACCTTCAACAGAACAAGACAATGGAATAATTAAAGTGTCTTTGTCCGTGCAAAACCACTCATAACAAGGTAGCCGAAATACCTCAGGTGTGTACTCTACTGGGACCAATCGTCTGTACATATTTTACAATTAAAATACATAGTAAACGAAAAAATAAAGTATGTATAAATATATACAAATAAATAGGAATAATATTAGACACTAATATCTCTATGTATGTAGATCTTTCCTACATATACGTTCGCCCCCGAGGGAAAAAATCAAAATGATTTTAATGAACTATGGCCTTCCGAGATGTCTTTAGCGCTGCAACTTGGCCTTTTATTTGATCGACGTCTGCCTGATCTGCTGTTCCAAAAGGATCGGACAGGAAACCAACAACAGGTATGAAACTGCGTTTTGGTTGAGATTTCCGCATGGTCGAATTTATTTCAATAATTCGCTTGCGCGTAGGGGACTTTAGCAGTGGGAGGAAACCTGCGGACCCGGAGAAAACCCACGAGGTGTACAGTTAATGATAAAGCAATTTACAAAATAAAACGAACGTAATTTCTAAAGCTGCTGTAATAACTAATAAGCTAAATATACTATTCCAAAAAAGTAGGGGATATTTGATTTTGGGGGCATAATACTAAAATATGCAAATGACTACGAAAAAAGTCACTATAGAACCTAACAGAAGAAACATTTCCAGTTACATGTGACGCCCAAACGCACCAATAGCTACCGCATGGAATGCAGGTGATGCTTGGGATCATCATGGGGGTCCAACCCCAATATTTGCACGACTCTGACTTTGAATGTTACAGTCATTGTGGCATTGAATTCCAGGGTGGAAACATCAGTTTAATTGTTTTAGTGACCAGAAAACAAATTTTGATATTCGTCGGCTTACCCAAAATGAAAGGTTACGTGCCCTTGGCATGCTACAGATCGGCATAACACAGGCGATTGTGGCGCGGACGATGAATGTTTCTCAGTCTGTCATAAGCAGGCTATGGTCCAGATACCGTGATACACAATCTGTACAGGACAGACCACGCTCAGGTCGACCAAGGGCGACAACTCAAGCCCAGGATCGATTTATCCGTACCTTGGCCTTGAGAAATCGTGTCATCACAGCAAATCAGATCAGCGCTCGTCTTCAAACAGACACAGGTGTGAGAGTGAGTGGCCAGACGATTCGGAATCGAATGCATAGGGGTCACCTTCGCGCCCGACGTCCTCGCGTGATCCCTTGTTTGAGAGATCATCACATTCAGGCAAGACGTCGTTGGTGTAGGGATCGTCAACACTGGGATAATCGACGCTGGAGCAATGTGATGTTTTCAGATGAGTCAAGGTTCACTGTTGATTTTTTGGACAGACGTAGGAGGGTGTGGCGTCGTCGAAACGAGCGCTTCCAAGACGTTAACGTCATCAGACATGATCGATTTGGGGGTGGTTCTGTTATGGTGTTGGGAGGCATCACTGTTGCTGGAAGAACGGCTTTACATGTTGTTGCAGGGCGTGTTACAGGCCAGTACTACCGGGACAACATCTTGGCAGTCCATGTTGTGCCGTTCGCACGACGTCATGGCCGCATCTTCCAGGATGACAACGCAAGATGTCACAGGGCCAGGATCGTTACAGGTTACCTCCAACAACAGAACATCACCACATTACCTTGGCCAGCACTGAGTCCCGACCTCTCCCCCATCGAGCATGTCTGGGACATGCTTGGACAGAGGTTACGTCAACGTCAACAACGTCCTGCCAATGTCCAAGAACTTGCTGCTGCGTTGCAACAGGAATGGGACAATCTGGACCAAAATGACCTTAGACGTCTCATTAGGAGTATGCCACGTTGGATCAATGCTTGTTTGGCAAACAGAGGAGGATTTACCCGTTACTGACTTGGTTGTGATGCTGTGGTAACTTTGCTGTTTGACCCCGGGTATCATTTTACCCTTATAATGGTCAGTCTGTGCCTTACTTAGTCTAACGATCATTTGGAATAAATCGATGAATGTGAACTTCATTTCATTTTGTCATTTGTTTCTTCGTCAGTTTCATTAGGTGACTTTAATAACACTTAAAAATCAAATATCCCCTACTTTTTTTGAATAGTATAGCTTTTCGGTGCTTACTCTATCTGACATGGGATTTTTAATTTCGAAAATAACGGATTTACTAAATGGTCCAGCAATTTCATCGAGATCTGCCAAAATTTCCGTAAATGTCGTTAATGTAGTTTGCGCAGGATGTATCAGCCATTTCAAGAGGGACCAAGAATAAGTGGCGTATGTGTCGAATCAACGGTTATTGCGTATGTGCCGAATTTGGAACCATTTTTTTTAGTTTCGTCTGTATAAAGGGTGGTATTTTTCGCCAACTTTAAGGTTTCCGAAACATGTTTTAATGATACACCGATTTTCGACATCATACAAAATTACTTCGTTCTTTCCAAAAGGTTTGGACTTGCAACCACTTTCTTTACCTGACATTTGTTTTTTTATGTTCATTATTAGCCTTAATGCGAATCATTTCTTTTTTAGTCTTCCGAAGTCGATTTATTAACTGGGCGATTGTGCTTTTATGACACTTTGACAATCGCCGCAAATACTTATTTTTCCTATTTAAATCAGTCACGGTCGCATCAGCAGATGTCTTGAGTCTCTCTATTTATTAAATTAATTTCACTAGTATCTGCCGATGGAGTCTCGTCCACTATCCCTGGAAAAAATTGGGTGTCAAGAAAATCGTCGTATGATTCCATAGATTTGTTGGACTTACCCAGCTTCCTAGTCTTTTTCTTCAGTCTGACAAGTCTACTTTTAATGTAATTGTCACCAAACGTCCCACAGTCATGTAAAGCAGTTATAATAGACCGATGCCCCGTAGTTGTCGGGCATTTATTAACAATGCCTAGTATAAGCATATTTGTGATTTTTGCCATAGGTAGTTTAGTTACAGTAATCGAATCGAGGGGTACTTGTCCAATCCAGTGCTGGACAGCAAATCATCGGTGAACGTCATCTTTCAGGGCTCAGTCTCAGATCTCGGACAAAAACTAAGTCCGTCGATCAAAGCTTATGGCTACAGAATAATTAAATAAGATACTATGATTATGAAAGTAATTTACACCCAGTTACCGAAAAGTTTCTGGAAAATAAAGACTACCAATAAAAAGTTTCCGGTCTATAATAGTTCTGCGTATTTAGGGCTAGCAAATATTTATTTCCTAGAATAAATAGAGCACCACGTAAACAAGGTTGTAACCACCAAATAAAAGTAATTCCCAAAATGTTGTAATGAGTTTATCTTGACACACTCATGGTTTTAAAACGAAATGAAAAGACGCTATTACAGCTAGCTCTGTACCGAAATCGCCAAAAGTCCAAAAATCAAAAATTAAATCAAAGAGTGCGGTCGAAATTTTTGTTCACATTCGCTATTAAATAAACACGAAAGTCGAAGCGCGTAATGAGTGTATTTTACTTGGCTTTATATACCAATACATGTTTGTATAATACCACGTGGAAAGCTATTTGTGAGGTATATTTGCTGCGACCTCCAAAATCACGTGCGCGGGACTAAACTTTGCTCACTTCAGAAAATATCCTCGATGATGCAATCAGACAGATAAGTGCTCAGTTTTTATAAGGACAAAAAATTGAGTGTCTGAACCACTCTACTTATTACAGATATAATATAATGCTATCATTATATGAAAGAGCAAACGTCTACAATAGTCTTACAAGTTACCCTCATTGTCGAAAACCATCGGAACGCGATAAAGGCTACAGTTTTTGACGGATAGGTGTCAAATTCGGTGTATAGCATTGAGATTATGAGACGACGATCACTATCGATATTTAGTATTATTCAACCTTCAGTTTCTCAGTTAGCCCTCTTTACGCAATGGGAGATATGAAACGTTATCATGCCCCTTTGACACATAAAATTGGAATTAATAAAATATCCTTCTCGTGCCATCAATGTAATATCACTCATACCCAGATGGTCGACCCATTACCAGATGGTGTTATGTAATGTCCGTTGTACAGAAAGCTAATCTGTCATGCAATAGCCCAGCTGTGTAATCGTTGTGACACCTTTTGTCAGTGTGGTCACACTCGAACACCTATCGGAAGTCAATCCGAGCATATTACCTTTGGGGGTTGGGCATCTGCCAGTTCAAGAGGTAAAATACGAGATCTAAACTAGCTTTATGAGTCCAGGCCAGAGCATCAGGTTAGCAATAGGGCTCCCTCCAGACAACTAAGTAGTTTTGACTAGAAGAATTAAAGTATAATAGAGAGAGAGAGAGAAATGGGGTTTAACGTCCACTCGACACAAACTAGGTCATTTCGGGACTAACATATGGTTCAATTTTAGTTCAATAATTCGCTTGCGCGTAGGGGTCTTTAGCAGAGGGAGGAAACCAGAGGACCCGGAGAAAACCCACGAGGTTAGACAGGCGAAGTATAATAGAGTAGAGTTTTTCTAATTCAATGTGAACCATTGGGACTGTGTTGGGGGGGGGGGGCTATCGAATTTTGCAGTTCTCAGTCCATCTCATGCAAAATGTGAGCATACCTTGCATGGAAACCGCTATTTTTCTTTTCATATTTAATCGTGAGTTGCATAGTAGTTTGGCTGGCACATTAAACCGAGGTCCCATGTACACATTGAAGTACATGTTACAGCGCCCGTGTCAGTTGGAATTTGATATAAGAGTAGGTCGTAACGCCACTGTCTGGGCGTTCATAGCACACTGCGTGGCGTATGTCTGTCTGCTATAGACTAATCGGGGCAGAAGTACTTTAAACTCCATTTCATCATTCGTGAGTTGCACCAGTCTTATCTTATCGTAACTATAAAACCACGTTGCCGTTATTGTATCGTCTCTCTAATCATCAATCTTCACCAGGAACAGCAGGCAGGTAAAACGTTACACCTAGATCTATCTGCAAGCTATTCGATCCCTGCATTGGCCGAGAAAGTTCACATAGATTTTCCGGCGTGGTTCTCCCTTGTCAGTGATGCAGGACAGAGGGGCTGACAAGGAAAGCTGTCTAGTCGTTCGGATTGGACGAAAAACCGAGGTCCCGTGTACACATTGGCGTGCACGTAAAAGATCCCTTGGCAGTTGGAATTCGATATAAGAGTAGGCGATAGTGCCGCTGCCCGGGCAAAATTTCCCTCATAGCACACTGTATGACGTATGCCCGTCTTCATTAGCTCAGGTTAGGAGCAGAACAGTAGGACGTTAAACTCTATTTTATTTCATTTCATTTCATTTTTTGGCAAGCTATCTTCTTTTCCTTTACTTGCTTAGAAATGGCATTTTCCTGTTTCCGCGTTTCCTAAAACATCTGGAACGACATATTTATTACACTTGTATATTTTTGATATTTGTATCGGACGGCTAAAGCTATTTGTTAATAAAAGATGAATTTTTGTCATGGTCGCCGAGATGTAAATAAGGTTAGCGCACATGATTGTTGGCGAGATTGTAGGTTAGGTTTAAGACTATGGGGGAGAGGTTAAGATCTCTGCCCTAAATAGCCGCCTTATCGTACAATTATTATACTGGTTTTTTTAATGCATTCCTACTCCGGTTCAGATCTGTTTTACACAAAAAGACTAGTTAAACCTCTTCAATTGTATTTAACTGAAAGCAGAATTTATACTTCTCAACATTCTCGAAATATACTTAGTGTTTTCAACTAAAATCTTTGGTTTAGGACTTAAATTGTTGGTCACCTAGAGTGTCTGTTCTCAAGCGGGGCTAATTGTAGACTGGTAGCGTAAGTTTGATATACTTTAAAAATGAGGAAAGTTGATTTATAATTCGAGATGAATAACTTCGATCGCAAAAAAACATTAATGTCCATACATAAAACAGGATTATTTGGCTGATTTTGCGTTCTGAAGTCGACACAAATCAACGACGTTTTATACATTTTTATTATCGGAATTGACTAATATACGTGTATCAGGGGTATATTGAGATTTAAAATTTAGCATGAATTCTGATCCATTCTATTTCCTTATCATTTCATGTCTCTTTCATGTCAAGTTGTTAGCTATCTGTCTGTTTAAAAAAACAAAAAAAACATTGTTGATCATAACACCTGTTCATTTTACACCTTCCCCAATAATAACACGTGTAATCAATCATGTGTTACTAAACTGTTTGTGCTCACAACTTTGGGTGGGGTTTCTTTTTTTTTTGAAAGAGAAGAAGCTCGGCGTTTGCGTGTAACTTGAAAGTAATCAAAATATTCCAGATTATAACCACAACTCATAACGGATGATTGCATTTTAAGATTAATTAATGGAAAGACATTCTCAAAACGAAATGAAGTGAGGTTTTACCTCCAACTGTTCAGCTAACGAAGACGGGCATCTGCCATACAGTGTGATATGAGGGAAATTTTGCCCGGGCAGCGGCACTACGACCTACTCTTATATCGAATTCGAACTGCCACGTGCACACCAATGTTTAAACGGGACCTCGGGTTTTCGTCTCATCCAAATGACTAAACAGCTGTACTTGTCAGGCCCTCTGACCTGCATCAATGACAAGGGGAAACTTTCTCGGCCAATGCAGGGATCGAACGCGCGACCGCCTGGCTAGCGAGCCAGCGTCTTACCCACATAGCCAACATGGTTCCCTCATTCTCAAAACAGTGTTAATTTTACACCCTATGATGTGTCGACGTTCAACTTATTTTAGCACGTAATACACTTACAGAAGTCTAAGAGTTCTAGATTATCTGGATGTATTCATGAATATACAACACAATGCAAATTAAAATGTTGAGGAAAGAAACATTCGTTTAATATCAAATCTGTTTAGAAATTCGTAAATTCGTAAAAATTATTAAAAATCACCAAAAATCATCTAATTTGTACTTGTGACCAGTTTAAAGCTGACTGATAATTTTGATAACGAGTGTCTAATTTACAAGTATTTAATTTCCTGACCACTGTTCAAAAATTCATCACTATACATCAACTAGAAGAATGCCCGGCTTCGCTCGGGGGTCATAACTCCGAAACCGGAAGTGGTAGACTAACGCCACCTGGCCTATGTTACTCCCCAGTCCGAGCTATCCCTATACCCCAAATTTCAGACTCGGGGCAGACCTAGTGTAGCCGCCAACCCCTAACAGACAGACAAACAGACAGACAGACAAACGACAGTCGCAAATATTAGTATAGATAATCAATTGGGTTGTTTATTTTTTAACAGTAATTGAGAAATTAAACACTTGTAAATTGGACACACATTATCAAAATTGAATGGTCAGCTTTAAACTGGACACAAGTAAAAAATAAACGATTTATTTTGATGTTAAACAGTTTTTACAATTTTTTAAACAAAGATTGGATATTAAACAAATGTGAACGAAATTAGTGCTAGATACACAAGATTAAATGATACCTGGGTTACAGTGATATGACAGGGGTCATAACTCCGAAACCGGAAGTGGTAGACTAACGCCACCTGGCCTATGTTATTCCCCGGTCCGAGCTACCCCTATACTCCAAATTTCAGACTCGGGGCAGACCTAGTGTAGCCGCCAATCCCGAACAGACCGGCTTCGCTCGGGGGTCATAACTCCGAAACCGGAAGTGGTAGACTAACACCACCTGGCCTATGTTACTCCCCGGTCCGAGCTACCCATATACCCCAAATTTCAGACTCGGGGCAGACCTAGTGTAGCCGCCAACCCCGAATGGATGGATTAAGCGCTATATAAATGTACATTATTATTATTATTATTATTAAATTCGATTACGTCTGGTGGATATTTGAGTTTAAATTACGAGATGTGATTTCGTTTCATGATGTGTGTACAGTAACGTTATTAATAAATGTTTAAAACAAAAATAACCATTATTTGTTCCGAGTACAATTTTTTTATTTACAGAATGTTGAAAGTTTTAGCGTTGATTTCTCTTGTCTCACTCTGGTAAGCCAATCAGATTCAATTATTATCTGGGATTTTTAATTATAGATCCCGTGTACACAACTTTCTTTGACAAGAGACCATTTAAGGGGTTTCTCTAACTATACCACCTTTGCCGTACATGCATATCCAATATAACCTTTTGATTAACTAATTGAGGGTAGAAATTTCTTTCTATCTAACTTCGTAGGCGATAGTGCCGCTGCCCGGGCAAAATTTCCCTCATAGTATAGTACACTGTATGGCGTATGCCCGTCTTCTTTAGCCCAGTATAGGAGCAGAACAGTAGGACTTTAAACCCCATTTCATTTCATTTCATTTCTACCTTTGTATAGTTTTTTGAAATATGTATTCATTTTTAGTTAAATGATTTCTTACGAGAAATGGATTTATATAAGCGCCGATTTGTTTTCAGATCCCATAATTAAATATTGTATCTTTTTAATATTTAAATATTGAATAAATATTGTTATTGGGGGTGTTTGATTAAATAATGCCATAGTAATAAATCAAAAATAGATTCAGAACTATTCTGAAGGTTCTGTATTGGTTTTTATTTATATTCTTTTTCTTTGCTATGTCTGGCAAGTGCTGCAGTGTTTTGTTTTATTAATAGCCCATCTCTTTTGCTATATCCGATGAGTTATGCAGTGGTTTATTATTTATATTCTTTATATTCTGCTATATCTGGCTATATATTCCTTATATTCTGCTATATCTGCTTATATATTCCTTATATTCTGTTATATCTGCTTATATATTCCTTATATTCTGCTATACCTGGTTATATATTCCTTATATTCTGCTATATCTGGTTATATATTCCTTATATTCTGCTATATCTGCTTATATATTCCTTATATTCTGCTATATCTGCTTATATAATCCTTATATTCAGCTATATCTGGTTATATGTTCCTTATATTCTGCTATATCTGGCTATATATTCCTTATACATTACTGTACCTGACGAGTTCTGTAGTGGTTTTTATTTATAAATATTTCAGTGCCGGGCAGGTATGGTTGGCAGGTTTTAATGCCTTGGATACAAACACGGATCAATCTATCAGCCAGGCTGAATTTGATGTTGCCATAGTAGGAGTTGATACTAATGGTAAGGCCATATAAGTATACACTTTGATAATAGTGGGATGACTTAAGAGTCACGTGTGCTTTTGAGTGATAGAACAGGTGTCCGGGTACGAGGGTGGGGATCAGCCTAGCTGAAAGGTGTAGGTAGTGCTGATTTCAGCTAATCTAGCCTAGCTGTGGTCTGGCAATTACATAACTCTGTCGGGGTACCCCACCACTAGAACTGTCTGTCAATGTGTTTTTACCTGAAGATGTAAGGTACACTGATGTACCATTTTCATGTGGTACACTTTAGAGCAAATCTAGCCCCGGGATCACAGCCCTCACATCCACACCCACCACCAGATACCCGGAAGACTTACATTCTGATGATACCAGATATACATGCATTGATAGCATATAGGTGAAAATAATAAAATTAAAATGATCGTGATGTTGGATTTATGTATACGTAATAGTATGTCAGAAAATCAGTTGAGCTTACACCAGGTCCCCACCCTTCCGCCCACGTCTGAAGACTTCTTGCTCACTATAGAATTATTGAAATAGTGAATTAATACTATATGCAGGGGAACCACACCATAACAATACGCAAACAATGCCAAAAAGACAAACCCCTGGGAGTATTACAATAACGATTTAATGATTCGAACATCAGATGACACATCTACCTGACAATGGACCAACGACTACACAATACAATTCAGTCAATGGTTGGCTTTATAAATATATATATATATATATATATATATATATATATACTCCTCGCAGTGTTTCGTTTGATTAGACCTCATCCCGTTCAACACTGCTGGACTGACTGGTGATTCCTGTCCCATATTATGACTGGTTAACAACCTATCCAGTACGGCGTAACACATAAACCTTAGCCCCAACGTTTCGTTCTAATTACAGCATTGAATAAAGATTCATTATGGGAGATTAGATAAAGAGCTGGCCGTTCTCACTATAATAGTTAAAAACTAGAAAAGTAAAGGGAATTTGCTGAAAATTTGTCAAATTGATCCACAATGAACCGAGATTTTAGCAATTGAATTTTTGGCCTAGCCTCGGTCATCATTACTAAAGTCGGTAGTATAAAATAAAACATAGTCTCGATTGTCCATTTCATGATTTAATTATAAATGGAAGTCGAACAGCAAATCGGAACCTAATCTAATACACATCGCAGTCTAGCGATGCATCGAGAGTTGATTATTGTCTGGATAAGTTAATTAATGTCTATTTAATAATTTAGATAACATTTCAGGCCTAAAGAAAGACCTGCAATAGGCAGATTTAGCTCTTGCATAATGTATGTTTAAGAAATATATGTAGAGAATCTTCTACTCCGTCTTTTTTTATATCAAAACAATTTCATCAACAACGAGGCCTTTATAAATTTATCGACGAGTGTTGATAATTTTTTATTTAAAAGACGAGTAGAAGATTTTATTTATCACCCTTTCTTACACGTAAATTCATGTAAAAAGATATCTCCTAGGATATGTCGCTCAGTAGAATATGAAAGTTATCACACAAGCGATGTCTACTGTATAATATGTTATTGGGTAATAAATGTATATAATCAGGTGATGGGAAGGTACCAGAAGCAGAATGGATGGCCGCATGGAAAGGTATTACTGCAGGTAATCACAACCAAGCTGTAACAGATAAAGCTGGTAAAAACATCTTTGATTATAATGATAAAAATAAAGATGGTGTGTTGAGTATAGCTGAGTTAAAGGGAATGTACTCTGTTATCGATACCAACGGTGAGTTGATACTAACTACTACTACTCTCTCTCTCTCTCTCTCTCTCTCTCTCTCTCTCTCGTTTGTAATCCAGTCTCCCTGTACCCACAGTCTTTCTCTCTCTTTTTTGTTATCAAATAGCAAAATAAAAATACTGAAATTAGGAACTTTGGAGTAGGATGTGAATGTATTTCTTCCGTTAGAAATATATTGGGTATTTTCAAAACCTAATTCCAATACTCTCAATTGTACAGAATGGAAGCCCGTCCGGGGTTATAGTGAAATGTATTTTCTCTTGTATCTTGTTATTATGAATTTAAATTTGCAGGTGACGGTAAATCAACTTCAATTGAATTTGCTCACGCTTGGCAAGACGTAAGTTAATAATAACTAATCTTCGTCATCATCGACATCATCCTCTTCACCATCATCAGCTCATCGTCATCGTCATCATCGTCATTAACATCATCATCATAAATAGATGACCATTTATCCGTCGGATGCGCTTTCCTCAACAACTAGAAATCAATAAAATTTTCGCCGGATTACAACTTTGTCTATCCTCGTTAATGGGCGCTTGAGTGAAATGAAATGTGGTTTTATGGCACATCAGCTCCAACCGGGCTATATTGCGCCAAACATATGGTGAATATTACGAGACATGGGGCGTTTGAGTGTCCGAATGGTTGGTCGTTTGAGTTGCCGAACAACTTCTGGCGACCACCACATCAAATCAAGGATTAAAACACGTATTGTCATGTATTTGAACAAAAATTGTATTTGTTGGTCGCCCCACTCCGTGTTTCATCTGTTTAAGACGAAAACCGAGGTCCCGTGTTGGCGCGCAGGAAAATGACCCTTTGGCAGTTGGAATTCGATATATAGGCCATAAAGCTGAAATCCGGGCAAACTGTATACCCGTCTTCATTAGTCCAGAACAATCAACAGAATAATGAAACGTACTGAAATGTATTTTTAAATTGTATTTCTATATTGCAGACTCACAGACCAATAACTGGATAATACGTCATCAGTTTCCTGTTGGTATTAAAACTTTTATGAAGTGATAAAATAAATATTCACCAATCTCTTAAATTGGTGTGGTTGTAAAATCATTTATTGTTCGGTGAATTATATTAGAATAGTATCCCTGTTTACTTGACTACATATTTACCATTATAACATTCTGTGTCCTAACACTCGGTGGGAGCAATATAGGACCACATGTCGAATGGTGTAACTCGTGCACATTATATCAGAAGTTCTTTCATTGAGTCAGGTGGTGTGGTTTCGATTCCCCGCTTGTGCGTGATAAGAAATGGAGTCACCTGTCCAGTTTTCTCCGAGTCCTCATGTTTCCTACTGTTTAGATGCGTGCGTATTACCGCAGATAATTCCAACGTATATGCAATCAGCTACTGCAGTTTATGTTGCCCGGTATATTACCACAGACAATTCTAGCGTATATTAGGTCAGCTACTGCAGTATATGTTGCCCGGTATACTATTATCAGTGACGAATAGATCCCTATATGACGTCACATCCGACAGGTTGATTTGTTACAGATGCTTTCTTGTGTTCTTTGCTGATATATTTGGACTAAAAACATATCCTTGCTCCAAATCCCTCTCAAAACTCTGTATTCGTCGGGAGACACCGCATTCTGTAAATAAACCGTTGTTAGACGCTATGTCAGTCAGTTCAATTCATTGAGGGAGGGTCCATTTTTCAGAATGTATTTTGTGTTAAATACTGTCCATTATCATACATATTGAGACCTAAGTAAATTCTCAGCTATTTATTGTTAACTACTTTTTCCGCCGTTTAATTGCCGAGTCGTTTGTACGTTGATACCCATCAATGTTCCAAAAACATTTGATCAAGAAATGAAAGCAGCTCCCTCAGTCAAGCTAGCACACAATAAGCTGGCAGACCACAGTCGGGTTGCCAGTTAGTGATACCCTGACATTTTCCCCAGTACTTGTCTCATGGGTGTTTTTCGGGTAATCCAGTATTTGTCTAGCAAGATTGGGGGTTTATACTTTCCATATATACCAAATTTGTCTTACTGTTATTGGAAATAACCACCTGATAAATACTTTCGGGACAATGTATCTTTAAATAAAGACGAAAATAAGATTTGTGCTTTATGCTGTGCATTTCTTAACGTTACCTTAGTACATTGATTCTCAACCAGTGTGCCACGGCACGCTGGTATTTCGCGAGATCTTCCTAAGTGTGGCGCGAAATTTTGAACGGCACACTAAGAAAATTTCTCACTAAAGAAGCCAGCTATTTGACTGATGAAATTCGAAACACTGCAATAAAGTAAGTTCGTAGCTGTGTTTTTCTTTTTTTAGTTTGCCGTTCTATGTGTGTATGACTAGTCTGTGTCTACGGTTGTATGTCGTTTATAACTTGCCATGTTTTTATTTTGCAAAATTCAAATATTTTTCATTAATATTTAGCCAGGTGTGCCGCTATTTTTCCATGTGATCCAAGGTGTGTCATTGACAAACAAAGTTTGAGAATCACTGCCTTAGTATAAGATATTAAATAAAACAGAATAATTCTATAATGGCTGCCTTTAACTATACTGGTCACTATACATTTCTAAAAACGTTCAAATGACACTTCCCCATATAACTTCACACCCTGTGGATGAATTTGTTAAATATAATCGAAACGGTTTGGACTTCAGATTTTGTCTGCGATATCACCTTCGGTGGAAATAGACGTTAAGACCGATACACACACACACACACAAATCCGCGCACACACACGCGCCATCACACACATACTTCAGATTGAACATCCTTGAACAATACTATGTAATAAATAAAATGCAAAAAATGTCTCTAATGTCTGTGGTGCTTGTTAACTATTTAATTTCGAAAAACTTGATTTTAACTGAAACAGAACTGGCCTTAGCACACCGGATGAACTTTATGTAAATTATTTCAATGACTGGCACATTTATTTATGTCTGCCTTACCTTCAGATCTTATCTTCAAGTATTATCTTCAAGTCTTATCGGTTACATGTGAACTAACACGTACACAACAGTTCACTTAAGATTTAAATATAAATAAGTCTTCTAATCTGCTAGGTTATTTGACTATAGAGCTAACCTACAGAATACCAGGTAAGAATGACAGTACCAGGTAAGAATGTAAGAATGTCAGTACCAGGTAAGAATGCTAGTACCAGGTAAGAATGTTTGTACCAGGGATAGTCTGTATTGATGAAATGAGATGAAAGCAAATGGGGGTTTAACGACCCACTGCTAATGAAGACCGGGCTAATAAAGACGGTCATACGTGCACACAAATGTGTACATGGGAGCTCGGTTTTTAGTCCTATCCAGATACATCCAATCCAGCTATTATACATTTGCTATGCGATATTGAGAACACACTGGTTAAGCCTTCCAACAGATGCGGCAAATGGGATAGGCGGAGGGGTATGGCTCGAAGAGCTATAAGCCTCAAAGACTATGACGTTTTTTCGAATGATAGGTACATTCTCTAATTATTGAAAACATGTTGCGGTTGTTAAGGACATGTATATGGAACTGTTAAGCAGAGGTTCCACAGCAAGCAAGTGAGATACTATTGTTTAATTTCAAAACTATCATCTTTTTTTTTCTCGCAGGATGTTGAAAGTTTTTCTATTGGCTGTCTGCGTCTCAGTGGCACTAAGGTATGTTATTAAACCTACCTCATAGAGCACGTGTAATCGTATAGAGGGTTATAGTGCACGTTCTACAGAGTAACGCACGTGTAATCATGTAGCGGGTTATATTGCAACGAACTGAAATGCGGTATAACGTCCTACTGTTCTGTACCGATTGGGCTAATGAAGACGGGCATATGCTAAGGCCTACTCTTATATCGAATTCCAACTGTGAAGGGTTCTTTTACCTACAAGCCAAGCCAATGTGAGCAGTGAACACAGGGGCCTCCTGGTGCAATTTCTCGGTCAAACCGAGACTGAAACAGAGATATCCGGTAAAATAACCTGTAGTTTCATTTGAAGTCAATAGGGGAAGGAGGGGGGGGGGGTAGTCAATCGTCAGTCTTCAGATAGAAATATGATCTGCTATTCAAGGGACCATCGCGTGAATACTTACCACGTTTACCTAAAGGGAGGTAATCAACCTTTCATTAATAGCTCGCCTGCACGTGACAAGAAGTAGGGAAGACTGTCCAGCCTCGTGAGTTTTCTCCAGGATCTCCGTGGCGAATTACTGAAATAAAACTGAGCCATATTATAGCCCCGAAATGACATAGTTTGCGTTAAGTTAAACCCATCTCTCTCTCTCTCCCCCCCCCCCCTCTCTCTCTCTCTCTCCCCCCCTCTCTCTCTCTCTCTCTCTCTCTCCCCCCTCTCTCTCTCTCTCTCCCCCCCTCTCTCTCTCTCTCTCCCCCCTCTCTCTCTCTCTCCCCCCTCTCTCTCCCCTCTCTCTCTCTCTCTCTCCCCCCTCTCTCCCCTCTCTCTCTCTCTCTCTCTCTCTCTCTCGATGTCCTTCGCTGTAAACTGACTGTGCTGTATTTGATTTTTTAGTGCTGACCATATATGGATGACCGTATTTAATTCTATAGACACCAATCAGGATAAAAACATTAGTCAGGCTGAATTTGATGTTGCTGTTGTCAACGTTGACGCGAATGGTAAGCTGCATTCTAATATCTTTAGGGGGGAACCTCACATTTTGGTCGAAAATATTATGGACGGTATTGCCGTGTGCCTGGGAAGGTAGTTAAACATTCTGTTGCACGCTTGTGGTTTACGGTGAAACAACAATTCTTACCATGCAAGACAAATTATCATCCACATGACAATAAGATTTTTAATAGATAAGAAAATGTCTGCCATATCTTCCTTAACCTTTAAATTGGGATCACTCATACCGAGGCTGAAAAAAAGACCAAAGCTCGACTTGAAACTTGTTCCTTGGACGGGACTTTGAATAATTTAGATGGCTGTGATGATGTCAATAAGAGATCCTGGTCAATTCCATACCTAATTAGAGGAGTTTCTGTACTTTCAACCTTCAGTTCGGAGCAGAACAGTAGGACGTTAAACCCCATTTTATTCCTTCATTCAGATTAATTGTTGATCAGTGCTTGAAACTGAAACGTTGCTTGTAATAAGCCAAGAAGTAGTAAATCCATAACGTTGTGTTATTATGAATATTATACCTCTACTTCATTTAAGGATACAGTCATGTGTAATTGTATATTTTATAAGGGGATGGTAAGGTCCCAGAAGCTGAATGGTTAGCTGCATGGACCCAGGCCACTGTTGGAAATCACCATCAAGGTGCCACTGATAAAGCTGGTCGTCTTATCTTCTCTAAGACAGATGCAGATAAAGATGGTAGTCTATCTATAGCCGAGTTAAAGGGAATGTTCACCTTGTTTGATTTAAATAGTAAGCTGTTTATATTCTCCTAATAGAACACCCAATACCACCCCTGCTAGAGATCGAATCCCGATGATCTTGCTCTGGATATTAAGTCAGTGCTGTTCTGGTCTGTACATTGTGGCTCCCTACAAATAACTGGACACACCTAGTGGATATGCCCGTTCAATACCCTCCACCACGCCATCTACACCATCCGTAGTATTATTTATATTTAACATTATATATATTTCTAGTGTGAACCCCCCCCCCCCCGCCCTACTGCCCTATTAGTGGTCATCAACAGTATACATATTTGATATTATATATAATTCTTGAGTGAATATCCCACATTCCCCAGTGGTCATCAGTCAGTATATATTTATATCTTCTGTCTGTTTCCTAGGTGATGCTAATTCAAGTATGGATGAATTCTCTAAAGTTTGGTCCAGTGTAAGTCGATTATCTTACTTTCCAATAAAAGGCAGGGGTCCTAAAACGACCTGAAGTCCGATTAATCACATCAGTCATATTAATTCTATTTTCTGGCTTGTGTAGGTTTTATTTGTTCTTCTGTTATGAATTATGACGCGGTTTTAATCAATATTTCAAATACGAAAATCGTAATTACGCTAAATACGTAATTATAACGCGGCACTATTTCCACACTTTATGACGATTGGCCGTCAAAATTAGCACAGTTCGGAGCAAAAACCATTTCATTTCATTTCATTTCATTTCAATCTAATATTTTTCTAAATTTCAGATCCACTCTCACGAAGCTGGTCATCCACATGGAACTACAAACTAATAGAATATATAAAAACTTTCTTTATGGACTGAATTACAATATTTTACAAACCTATTTAAACTGACGGGGTGGGTGAGGTGGGATGGGGTGGGTTGAGGTGGCCAGATGATTTAACGCGTACGCATTAGGTCATAAAGTCTGTCATTTACAAGGAGTTGGATCGTCTGTCCAACCTTGTGGGTTTTCCCCGGGTTCTCCGGGTTTTCCCCGGGTTCTCCGGATTCCTCTTACTGATAAAGATCCCTAGGAGGCAGTGAATTATTGAAATAAAACTGAACGTATTTTGCATCATTTTATAAAGATTTATGAACGTTTTATATTTGACAACAATCATCTTTGCTCTGCTCAACAATTCCTGTTAATTAGACCTATTTTGGTTACATGACATTTTAACACTTCTAGCCATCCGTAAACCATATAAACTTTCCCCAATGACATCGTTCATTTATTGTTGATGGTCAAAAACAATGATGGAAGTCGCACATCTGTGAACATATATTGAAGTCCACCTTGTCCGTACCCATATTATTGAATCAAAGACCATGACCATATCAGATATCGTCCATCAGCAGTTGCGCTAGTTTGATGTCCCCTTTATGCCGATTGAACGTCATCCCTATTGATATCATCAAATGTGGGCTGTACGTCATCATTATGTCGGTTGTAAGTCATCACTATGGACGTAATCATAATGTGGGCTGTTGGTCATCATTATGTGGTGGTTCCCACAGCCAAATCTGACTCGGGGTGTCACTACAGTTCCTATAAACAACTTCCAATTCCAAAGCTTCCATACATTTCTGGTACGCCACGTTGAAGATTTGATTTTTCTGAAATGCAAAACGAAACCAAGATATAAATACTAACGCTAGATTATGAACCGACTTGGATTCAATCGGATTATAAAAAAAACCTACCAATAAATTTTCGTGGATAACAAAATGGCGGCTGGCTTATTACATATCGAAGCATCATACATCGGTGTAATTTTAATTCCACATATTGTTGTAATTACTGATATTCCTATTAGAGCTATTAGAGATTCATCTTTCACAATAATGTAGTTTATAAGTGATTCCTATAGCGCTGAAATGGCTCATCAGGACATTAAGACGTCCATTAAAAAGATAAACTAAAAGAATCCTACTTGAGCAGGCCTACCTTTGTTACTTCCCAGTATTGATTACCACGACCACCATGACATGACGTCACTGCTAAAGGTATGGTGGTATTGCCGAGGTTATCCAGACACTCGTCATCACGTCTTATCTCTCCTGTATCTGTCAAATGCCATAACTATGGAAACAAATATAACTAATAGCATATTATACACGTATTTATGACAATGTTGGCAATAATAAACTTTTATCTAATCAATGAAAACATATGTCACAGTTGCTGATATCAAGAAATCCCAAGGTTTGATTAAGCAGGGGTTAAACATACGTCGTTTGTGGGTAATTAAACGTGTACATTTTAGTTCAGGATCTGGAGCGTTGGCATAGACAGTGTTGAGAGAAGATGTTTGTGTGCAGATATAAAGCTTAGTGGCGGACGGGCCAGGTTGTCAGCTTGCCCAGTGGCTAGTGGGCCCCTTAGGAAGCGGGGCCCCTTAGACATTAGACAATATATTTAAAGAAAACAAAAATAACATTTTTGAAAATGTAATTCATTCATTTTAAAAATTAAATGATAGAATTGTATTGGTAGGTGGGCCCCCTTTGTCTCCTCGCAATCAATATTTTCAGACCCAGTCCTCCACTAATAAAGCTTGGGATAAAGCACGAGATCTTCCCCAGCATAACCAAAGTCGAGGACTTTATCTTGCTTTATCTATTTTTACATGTACGTAAAAAGCGAATATCCCAGAATTCCAGTAAGAATAACCTTATCATGTTTTCTTATAGAAAAAAAACCTACCCTGTAAGAATAAACCGTAACAGGTTTAAACAAAAACTTTCAGAATAATAACCCCAATTTCCCCTGTATATATTCAGAGTTCCCCGAATTTTAGACCGCAAGTTATTTCGGGCATAGAATATACCCCAAAGATCAAAGAGATGTACCTTTATAGGTTGATAAGTAGATATAAAGCCAAGGGCTGGTATAGATAGGGCTTTACAGAAGACATGTGTCTATATATACTATTCAAAAAAAGTAGGGGATATTTGATTTTGGGGGCATAATACTAAAATATGCAAATGACTACGAAAAACGTCACTATAGAACCTAACAGAAGAAATATTTCCAGTTACATGTGACGCCCAAACGCACCAATAGCTACCGCATGGAATGCAGGTGATGCTTGGGATCATCATGGGGGTCCAACCCAAGATTTGCACGACTCTGACTTTGAATGTTACAGTCATTGTGGCATTGAATTCCAGGGTGGAAACATCAGTTTAATTGTTTTAGTGACCAGAAAACAAATTTTGATATGCGTCGGCTTACCCAAAATGAAAGGTTACGTGCCCTTGGCATGCTACAGATCGGCACAACACAGGCGGTTGTGGCGCGGACGATGAATGTTTCTCAGTCTGTCATAAGCAGGCTATGGTCCAGATACCGTGATACACAATCTGTACAGGACAGACCACGCTCAGGTCGACCAAGGGCGACAACTCAAGCCCAGGATCGATTTATCCGTACCTTGGCCTTGAGAAATCGTGTCATCACAGCAAATCAGATCAGCGCTCGTCTTCAAACAGACACTGGTGTGAGAGTGAGTGGCCAGACGATTCGGAATCGACCGCATAGGGGTCACCTTCGCGCCCGACGTCCTCGCGTGATCCCTTGTTTGGGAGATCATCACATTCAGGCAAGACGTCGTTGGTGTAGGGATCGTCAACACTGGGATAATCGACGCTGGAGCAATGTGATGTTTTCAGATGAGTCAAGGTTCACTGTTGATTTTTGGACAGACGTAGGAGGGTGTGGCGTCGTCGAAACGAGCGCTTCCAAGACGTTAACGTCATCAGGCATGATCGATTTGGGGGTGGTTCTGTTATGGTGTGGGGAGGCATCACTGTTGCTGGAAGAACGGCTTTACATGTTGTTGCAGGGCGTGTTACAGGCCAGTACTACCGGGACAACATCTTGGCAGTCCATGTTGTGCCGTTCGCACGACGTCATGGCCGCCGTTTCATCTTCCAGGATGACAACGCAAGATGTCACAGGGCCAGGATCGTTACAGGTTACCTCCAACAACAGAACATCACCACATTACCTTGGCCAGCACTGAGTCCCGACCTCTCCCCCATCGAGCATGTCTGGGACATGCTTGGACAGAGGTTACGTCAACGTCAACAACGTCCTGCCAATGTCCAAGAACTTGCTGCTGCGTTGCAACAGGAATGGGACAATCTGGACCAAAATGACCTTAGACGTCTCATTAGGAGTATGCCACGTCGGATCAATGCTTGTTTGGCAAACAGAGGAGGATTTACCCGTTACTGACTTGGTTGTGATGCTGTGGTAACTTTGCTGTTTGACCCCGGGTATCATTTTACCCTTATAATGGCCAGTCTGTGCCTTACTTAGTCTAACGATCATTTGGAATAAATCGATGAATGTGAACTTCATTTCATTTTGTCATTTGTTTCTTCGTCAGTTTCATTAGGTGACTTTAATAACACTTAAAAATCAAATATCCCCTACTTTTTTTGAATAGTATATATATAATTACATGTATGTGATAATAAATGAGTTTACCTGAATACCACCTTGACCGCTACATCTCTGTAAAGTTACTGGTTTTCCTGATTTTCTTCCTTTAGATTCAATGCACAGTTTGGTTGAGTTATTACGTATCTAGAAAACAAACAATCTGGTTGAGTTATTACGTATCTAGAAAACAAAGAGTCTGGTTGAATTATTACGTATCTAGAAAAAAAGTCTGGTTGAGGTATTACGTGTCTAGAAAACAAACAATCTGGTTGAGTTATAATATTACGTGTCTATAAAACAAAGAGTCTGGTTGAGTTATTACGTGTCTAGAAAACAAACAATCTGATTGGGTTATTACGAATCTAGAAAACAAACAATCTGGCAATTATTACGTGTCTAGAAAACAAGCAATCTGATTGGGTTATTACGTATCTAAAAAAAACAGTCTGGCGAGTTATTACGTGTCTAGAAAACAAAAAAAAACATTTGATAAAATTCACGGGTAATCTCACATACCTAACGTCAAACTTGACTTTGTCGTCACCAAGAGCCCCCCACCCCCACCTCCCCCCCACACACACATAAGCCCCTGCTACCATATAGTTGATTTCATGTGAGCTTACTTGTCCTCGTCTTAAAGCTTTAGAAGGACGAAACACATCCGGGTAAACATTATCTAAATACCACTCAAAACTTTTACATTGTAATATCTCCCTGAGATTAATCCTGTCACTGACGTCACCAATATCAAACTAAAAAAAAGAACAATTATAAAGTAAAATTTTGAATTAATTACATGTATTACAAGAAATTAATGTTGAATAATACGCTAGATTAAAATTACTTATAGAAAAGCCAAGCTCTGGTCAAAACGAGTCGTCGGCCATATCACTAGTGGAAGGGGAATTAAATAAAACTATTTCACATATACTCCGAATAGAAATTTTTTTCACAAATTATGCCGAGAATCTAATTTACATATCTTTGATTTAACTGTACAGTCAAATCGGAAATTATACTTCTACCAAACCCGATTTTTTTAAGGAACCAAAATCTTTTAAATCCCTGGCTACAAATATAATAAAATGGGGTTTAACGTAATACTGTTCTGCTCCGACTGGGCTAATACACCATACAGTGTGCAATCAGGAAAATTTTGCCCAGGCAGCTTCACTATGTCTCACTCTCATATCGATGAACTTTCTAGGCCAATGCATGGATCGAACAAACGACCTCTAGGCTAGCGAGCCAGCATCTTTTTTTTTTTTTCTATTTTTTAAAAAAAAATCAAAATCCAGATACATAAATTCAAAGGTGTCATACGAGCCAGCATCTTACCCGCTTAGCCATCGTGGCTCCCCAAATTCCTGGCTAGTTTCAGAATTTAAAACAAATTTACGAGAACACCTGATGCCCCTTTCCTGAGTAACAAACTATTTCATGTTTGTAATTCTTTAGGTATTGTTTTATGTCACCTTTTTTCGTCTTCTCCCTCGTTCATAATAGAACTGTTTATATTCATCTAGCCAGACTTCTACCATTCGTACCGTGTTAATCTGCACATCATCCGAAGTATATTTATAAGGAAGATTATCCCTGAACACGTGACCCACATGTGAACACGGCATTATCTCTAAACGCCCACCACACATCCAGATCTAAAGACAGAAAATACAAACAAAACAGAAATTACAAAACAAAAAAAAACCTGAAACTAGAAACAAAACAGAAATTAAAAACACAACAGAAATTAAAAACACAACAGAAATTAAAAACACAACAGAAATTAAAAACACAACAGAAATTCATCCAGTAAAAAGTTAATTGCTTGTTAAATCACTCGCAGCCCTTCCCCCTCTCCCCCCCTGTTAGACGTTGGGTATAAAACTGAAAGAGCCTTGGGGCAATAGATAATGGAATATTATAGATAATACTGGATTTGATTGTCTAAGCTGAGGAGGCAGTAGCTTCACACTCTATTTTCTCAAAACCCTGATTCTAGTTCACCAAGTCGCTAATAGCTTAAAGTCCACTGTATTTGTAAACTGTCATATTGTGTACTTACTCTAAATGATATCTCCAAGTTTTCTCCTCCCCAAATGTTCATACCAGTATCATACAACCCGATCTCTTTAAAATAGCCACGATCTATCGAAAACAAGCCTCCAGCCATTGTCGGTGACCTGTAATAAGAAGTGTTTTCAGGTGGAGTGAGTGTAAAATGCAACAGAAATCGTCAGGCCAATACATGATGCCGTTTGGACTTTGTAATGCTACAGCTACATTTTAACGATCTATTGGAATTACATTGCTAACAAAAAATAAAGGGTAATTTTGTGGTGTCCAGAATGCTAGAATAATATTAAAACATTTAAAATCGTGCAAAATGTTAAAACATACGCCACTGGGTCTGTTTTCGTTTTTCTTTTGTTACTGATATAATCTGGCATATACATCCATCTAAACTCCATGTTCCAATTAAAGCGACCAACTTGAATACCGGCCGAAATCGTAGAATACCGAAACTCGAAGGTTGTTTTCTCTATTTCATCTATTAATGGCCAAACGACGTAGTTTCTATTTTCAGCAACTCTCGAGAGTAGAGGCTCCAACCATCCTATCAAAACAAAAATAATACATCCAGATATGACTGGACAATAAATCTAATTGTAGTCGTTTTTATTTTATTTGTATAAGTTATAAAGATTAATATATATTTAAACCCTAACTCTGCAATTAATGCAAACACTGTATGTAATAAGCATTAAGAGATATCAAAGACAAATTGGCCGTGAAACGAAGGACAGAATCGAGCAGACCCTACGTGGATTCTCTAAGTGGTAAATCGTTCAAAGACTTGAACCATTGTGAAATAATACCAGTTGTAATATATATGACGTTTTATTTCATTAAATAGATGGGGTATAATTATTATGAATATGTAAACAACGCGAATCTAACAATAAATAACACGTGCATGAATCCATTTCCATACCTTCGGGGGGGGGGAGGAATGGCCGAATGGTTAGCACGCGCGTGCTGTATCATACGGACTGTCATTGAGTCAACTGGTGGGATTTCGATTCCCCGGTTGTACGTGACAAGGAGTAGGGTCGCCTGTCCAACCTCGTGGGTTTTCTCCGGGCCCTCCGGTTTCCTCCCACTGCTAAAGACCCTACGCGCATGCGAATTATTGAAATAAAATTGAACCATGAGTTAGTCCCGAAATGACCTAGTTTGTGTCGAGTGGACGTTACACCCCATTTCTCTCTCTCTGTCCATACCTTCAGCACATTCACAATGAGAATCCAGATAAGTAATGACGTCACCAACAGCATGTTCATAACCAAATATTCTCGCTCGTACCAGACCCTCTCTTTTACTAGTTCTAACTATTTTCACTTTTTCATAACCAGTAAAATATTTCTCTAGAGGCAGCTTCAGATGTTCTAAAAATATTACAATAATACTAATACTTGTTAAAAGATAGGGGCTTGATATGATGCAAAAACATAGAATTATTCAGTAATCAATATCAAAATTAAAGAAATTTTAATTTAAGAGGGACACGCATCGTACAGAGGATGCGAGCTAAATTACATCTCGGTATCAGCGGGCGCTATCTGTAATGACGACATCAGGATTAGAAAACTCAAGGAGATTCGAACCTAAGAGCTAATAGTTATTTATTTAGGGTACTGTCCGTTCGAGTTTCACGGATATGACTTTTATCGACTGATCAAAGTTATAGAAATCGGCTACTAAATCATAATTTACCGAAACAAAAGATATCATCTACTGCAATAATTTACCAAAACAAATGAAATCATCTACATCTTAAAAAATAACTCACCAAAGCTCGAGAAATAACTTAGCAAAGTTAGATAACTCACCAAAGCTCGAGAAATAACTTAACAAAGGTAGATAACTCACCAAAGCTCGAGAAATCATCTACTAAAATAACTTCTCGTATTAAATGTGCCGGCGAACGGTCAAGAACTGAGTGAACAGTTCGAAGTAACGTACTCCACCCTTCATCTACAAAACATATAATAACACTTGTATCAGGTAGATTTTCCTTGTATACTATAGATTTACACCTGTAATATAGTAATAACATACATTTGTATCAGGAAGATTATCCTTTATCCTTGTATACTATAGATTTACACCTGAAATATAGTAAATATACACCTGTATCAGGTAGATTATTCTTATTTACTATAGATTTACACCTGTAATATACTATTCAAAAAAAGTAGGGGATATTTGATTTTTAAGTGTTATTAAAGTCACCTAATGAAACTGACGAAGAAACAAATGACAAAATGAAATGAAGTTCACATTCATCGATTTATTCCAAATGATCGTTAGACTAAGTAAGGCACAGACTGACCATTATAAGGGTAAAATGATACCCGGGGTCAAACAGCAAAGTTACCACAGCATTACAACCAAGTCAGTAACGGGTAAATCCTCCTCTGTTTGCCAAACAAGCATTGATCCGACGTGGCATACTCCTAATGAGACGTCTAAGGTCATTTTGGTCCAGATTGTCCCATTCCTGTTGCAACGCAGCAGCAAGTTCTTGGACATTGGCAGGACGTTGTTGACGTTGACGTAACCTCTGTCCAAGCATGTCCCAGACATGCTCGATTGGGGAGAGGTCGAGACTCAGTGCTGGCCAAGGTAATGTGGTGATGTTCTGTTGTTGGAGGTAACCTGTAACGATCCTGGCCCTGTGACATCTTGCGTTGTCATCCTGGAAGATGAAACGGCGGCCATGACGTCGTGCGAACGGCACAACATGGACTGCCAAGATGTTGTCCCGGTAGTACTGGCCTGTAACACGCCCTGTAACAACATGTAAAGCCGTTCTTCCAGCAACAGTGATGCCTCCCCACACCATAACAGAACCACCCCCAAATCGATCATGTCTGATGACGTTAACGTCTTGGAAGCGCTCGTTTCGACGACGCCACACCCTCCTACGTCTGTCCAAAAAATCAACAGTGAACCTTGACTCATCTGAAAACATCACATTGCTCCAGCGTCGATTATCCCAGTGTTGACGATCCCTACACCAACGACGTCTTGCCTGAATGTGATGATCTCTCAAACAAGGGATCACGCGAGGACGTCGGGCGCGAAGGTGACCCCTATGCAGTCGATTCCGAATCGTCTGGCCACTCACTCTCACACCAGTGTCTGTTTGAAGACGAGCGCTGATCTGATTTGCTGTGATGACACGATTTCTCAAGGCCAAGGTACGGATAAATCGATCCTGGGCTTGAGTTGTCGCCCTTGGTCGACCTGAGCGTGGTCTGTCCTGTACATATTGTGTATCACGGTATCTGGACCATAGCCTGCTTATGACAGACTGAGAAACATTCATCGTCCGCGCCACAACCGCCTGTGTTGTGCCGATCTGTAGCATGCCAAGGGCACGTAACCTTTCATTTTGGGTAAGCCGACGCATATCAAAATTTGTTTTCTGGTCACTAAAACAATTAAACTGATGTTTCCACCCTGGAATTCAATGCCACAATGACTGTAACATTCAAAGTCAGAGTCGTGCAAATCTTGGGTTGGACCCCCATGATGATCCCAAGCATCACATGCATTCCATGCGGTAGCTATTGGTGCGTTTGGGCGTCACATGTAACTGGAAATGTTTCTTCTGTTAGGTTCTATAGTGACTTTTTTCGTAGTCATTTGCATATTTTAGTATTATGCCCCCAAAATCAAATATCCCCTACTTTTTTTGAATAGTATATAGTAAATATACAGGATATATATATATATATATATATATATATATATATATATATATATATATATATATATATATATATAATATACACTTGTAATATTAAATACACATGTCAAAATAACCCATTATAAATCCACAGAAGTATGTTAAAAAGAGCAATACCTTTTTTTTAATGATATTTATATTAATTACCCAAAAGGAAAGACAAGGGAGTCTTTTGGTCAATAGCGCCCTAGTATTACAAAACGTGATCAACAATTAAAGAACATTCTACACATCCAAAATTTAAATAATTTTTTTTTTCTCCAATTTAAATAATTCCATAACAACAATTGACAAAATTATGGATAAGTGAGATTTAAAAAAATTTAAAAAAAACACACAGCTTTTGTCGGTGATTAGTATGGCCGTTTTTTTAAAGTTTCAATTATCAGTAATACTAATCACCCGTATTTCTAATAAAAATAAAATAAAACCAACTACGAACAATCCAGACCATTCAAAAAAATTCAAAGTCCTAAAAAAAGCGTTATAGGCAAAATAGTGTAATCAACAAAACAAAATACACGTTTATGGCATTAAGTCCATTTTCCATGTGCGCTTTTTCGTGGCGTTCTCGTTGACCTTTTCGCCGGTTATATGCAAACGGTCCCGTCGTTGACCTTTTCGCCGGTTATATGCAAACGGTCCCGTCGTTGGCCTTTTCGCCGGTTATATGCAAACGGTCCCGTTACATTTGCATTAGACCGACTGCGAAAACACGTACATGGAAATGGGCGTTACTTACTCATCGTCTCTAGGATCTGGTAAAGTCCGTCTGGTTGAAATCATATCACTTGCATACTGGTTAAAATTATTTCTCTTCCATCCCTCATCATAGAGAGATTTCTGTAAGGGAGATAACCCAGTTTCGTCAACTATTACAGCTTTACCAAGTGAACCTAGAAAATATCCAATGTCAAGAAATGAAATAAAATGGCGTTTAACGTCCGTCTTTTCTGCGCCGACTAGGCTAATAAAGTGTGCTATGAGGGAAATTATTTTCTCGGATAACGGCGCTACGACGGCTTACTCTTATATCGAACTCCAACTGTGTACACCGAACCTCGGGTTTTCGTCCCATCCGAATGGCTACTAAATGTCACGGTCTGATAACTTTAGGTCGATTGTACAGTAAATACTTTTACAATTCAATGAAAAGGTAGATAACTCTTATTTTAGACATTATATTGGTGTCATTAATCGATCGGAAACACGTGGTGCCATTTAAATCTATACCAGGTGTTCTTAATGAATATCAGTTGAGTTTGTGTGTTATAAGTAATTCGGTATATATATTTAAAAACGTCCTTTTCCAGCTTAGATAAATGAAATGAAATAGGGTTTAACGTCTCCATTTTATGCACCGACTGGGATAATGAAGACTGGCATACACCATGGCATACGCCATACAATATCCTTTTAGGTGGACGCTATTCTGTATACACGACCTCTGTTTTTTGTCCGGCCCGAACGATTATACACTGTCCTTGGCAAGGGGAAACTTTCTCGGCCATAACCGACATCGCCCGCTGCCCCCACCCACCCACCCTCAGGTTAGTATATCTGGTGTTATATTATCAATATAGTATTCGATCCAGAGCTTTAGACATAGAAAACATCTGGCCACGAGTTCACAAAGCATTCTGACTTAAGTTAAGAATTTACTCAAATTTCAATCACTGTTTGTGAGAAATATGTTTGATTTAGAAACACAAAACTTTCACATAGTTTCTTAGTGATATATTTGATACATTAAAACAACAATTGTTTTTATAAAGGGCTATTTTTTAGTTAAAATAAGGCTAACTATTGAGTAAATTCTTAACTGAGAATGCTTTGTGAACTTGGGGCCATGTGTCAGCGATATACAAAAATAGACCACTCTAAATATACTATTCAAAAAAAGTAGGGGATATTTGATTTTTAAGTGTTATTAAAGTCACCTAATGAAACTGACGAAGAAACAAATGACAAAATGAAATGAAGTTCACATTCATCGATTTATTCCAAATGATCGTTAGACTAAGTAAGGCACAGACTGACCATTATAAGGGTAAAATGATACCCGGGGTCAAACAGCAAAGTTACCACAGCATCACAACCAAGTCAGTAACGGGTAAATCCTCCTCTGTTTGCCAAACAAGCATTGATCCGACGTGGCATACTCCTAATGAGACGTCTAAGGTCATTTTGGTCCAGATTGTCCCATTCCTGTTGCAACGCAGCAGCAAGTTCTTGGACATTGGCAGGACGTTGTTGACGTTGACGTAACCTCTGTCCAAGCATGTCCCAGACATGCTCGATGGGGGAGAGGTCGGGACTCAGTGCTGGCCAAGGTAATGTGGTGATGTTCTGTTGTTGGAGGTAACCTGTAACGATCCTGGCCCTGTGACATCTTGCGTTGTCATCCTGGAAGATTAAACGGCGGCCATGACGTCGTGCGAACGGCACAACATGGACTGCCAAGATGTTGTCCCGGTAGTACTGGCCTGTAACACGCCCTGCAACAACATGTAAAGCCGTTCTTCCAGCAACAGTGATGCCTCCCCACACCATAACAGAACCACCCCCAAATCGATCATGTCTGATGACGTTAACGTCTTGGAAGCGCTCGTTTCGACGACGCCACACCCTCCTACGTCTGTCCAAAAAATCAACAGTGAACCTTGACTCATCTGAAAACATCACATTGCTCCACCGTCGATTATCCCAGTGTTGACGATCCCTACACCAACGACGTCTTGCCTGAATGTGATGATCTCTCAAACAAGGGATCACGCGAGGACGTCGGGCGCGAAGGTGACCCCTATGCAGTCGATTCCGAATCGTCTGGCCACTCACTCTCACACCAGTGTCTGTTTGAAGACGAGCGCTGATCTGATTTGCTGTGATGACACGATTTCTCAAGGCCAAGGTACGGTAAATCGATCCTGGGCTTGAGTTGTCGCCCTTGGTCGACCTGAGCGTGGTCTGTCCTGTACAGATTGTGTATCACGGTATCTGGACCATAGCCTGCTTATGACAGACTGAGAAACATTCATCGTCCGCGCCACAACCGCCTGTGTTGTGCCGATCTGTAGCATGCCAAGGGCACGTAACCTTTCATTTTGGGTAAGCCGACGCATATCAAAATTTGTTTTCTGGTCACTAAAACAATTAAACTGATGTTTCCACCCTGGAATTCAATGCCACAATGACTGTAACATTCAAAGTCAGAGTCGTGCAAATCTTGGGTTGGACCCCCATGATGATCCCAAGCATCACCTGCATTCCATGCGGTAGCTATTGGTGCGTTTGGGCGTCACATGTAACTGGAAATGTTTCTTCTGTTAGGTTCTATAGTGACTTTTTTCGTAGTCATTTGCATATTTTAGTATTATGCCCCCAAAATCAAATATCCCCTACTTTTTTTGAATAGTATATATATCTAATATCATAAAAGTTATAGATATAAATACACATACATAACATAATATAAAAGAATAAAAAAAGTTATAACTATCTAATAATATAAAAGAATATAAAAGTTATAACTACATCTAATAATATAAAAGAATATAAAAGTTATAACTACATCTAATAATATAAAAGAATATAAAAGTTATAACTACATCTAATAATATAAAAGCCAACTTGACACACATTAGATCAATTCGGGACTAGCATATGATTCAATTCTATTTCAATATTTGGCGCAATATATGGCCAGGTTGGAGCTTACGTGCCATAAAACTCCATTTCATTCTATTTCAATAATTCGCTTACGCGTACCGGTCTTTAGTGGTTGTTGTGGGGGAGGGGGGCGGAATAACCGGAGAAAACCCACGCGGTTGCACACGCGGCCTCATCTCGTTTCACGTACCAGCGATGAATCGAAACCAGGCCACTTGAATCAATGACAGACCCTATGATTTAGCGCGAGTTAAATCAAGGATTAGAGAGTGTTAATTAATAATTGATCACATTACCTGGACCATTGAGATCACTGACTGTCGTATTTATCTTCAGCTGTTTCACAAAATTATCTCCCTTGTTTTCATTTAAATTCTTTAATTCAAACGGTGAGTTGAGGATTTGAACTGTGTCATTCCTTAAACCCATATTTCTATTCATATTTAAGTGATTTTGAATTCTACCATCATCACGCTTTTCAACATTTGGTATTTGATCAACTTTTAAATGAGTATACTTTACATATTCAATACTTTCTTTTCTATTATCCCCACCTTGAATAATGTCAGCCTTTGTAATTCTGACATTGTCAATATTGCCAACGTTGGAGATTCTCACATCTTGAATTTTAATACTTTTGATACTTTCCCTATTTCCGCCATCTTGAATTCTGCCATTTGGAATGCCGTTATTTTGAATTCCTCTAAGTTTGGGAATTCCATCATCTTGTATTTGGTCATTTTCTTGAATCAAACCATCTTGAATATTGCCAAACTTTAGAACTTCACCATTTTGAGATTTGCTAGTATTTGGATTTTTATTGCCCTGAATCCCGCCACCGTTTGAGATCAGATCATGTTGTATATGGACATCCTTTGGAATTGCTAAAATTGGCATTCCGTTATCTTGAATATGTCGAACGGTTGGAATCCTGTGTTCCTTTAAATTATAAACTTTTTTATTTACGCCATCTTGACTCTTCTCAGCGTTTAGAACCCCGCCACCAGGTAGGTTGACAAATATTGGAATTCCACCATTTACAATATCGACCCCCTTAGGAATTTTGCCATCGCGAATAGTATCAGCTTTTCCATTTCCAGCATCTTGGAGGCTGTTCAGGTCAGCGACATGCCTATCCATATGTTCATCTGCTAAATCAGGCAAGGGTGGTAAAATATCATTTAGGCGAGGATTTCTTTTACTGGTGTTTATTTTAAGAATACGGTTATTAGAATTTATAAATATTTCTCTATTTTGTTCTGATACATGAGGATTGCCATGGTTACCAGCCTCGACCAGCTTACCCTGGTTTTGAATGTCCGGCATGGGAAGAACTTTATCGCGTGCTTTCAAATCACTATTATCGGCGCCAACCGCCATCGCTGCTATATTATCATCCATACTATTATCTCCTTCGTTCGGTATTATTGGCGACACGTTGCCATGGTGATTAGGGACCGTATTTCTGTCTGGCAGCTCTCCTTCAATTACCACCCCAACGCCCTGAGCATCGCCGTCCAAGCGATCGTCAAGCAGCAATTGCTTTTCATGTTTTAAATCTGAATCAATCTTCCGTGCTTTGGCTTGGTCTCGATCGTCTAATTCATCCAGAGGAAAATTTACATCCCTGTGTCTGACACGTTTCATTCGGAGAACATCGTGTAAGGTTTCATCACGTATACTTGTTTGGATATCATTGTTATTACCGTCCCCAGCAGCGCGAGTAGGAATCCCGTCTAGATCGTAAAGCCTCCACACGTGGGGTGGAACGTCACGACGTACTTCCGGTACCGGATGTTCGTTGAGTTGCCCCCCTTGTAAAAATGATGTAAGCTTGTGTGGTATATCTAACGTAATGAATATAAACATCGATACGCCGATAATAGTTATACGTTTCATCTTACGGCGGTGTCTCATCGACCATCTGGCCATTGTTTAGCTAACTTCAGACAACACTGAAGTTCAGAATACTAGTCGACTCATGCATGAACGTACAAAGAATGACAGCGTCAAAAAAAACCAAATAAGTTTCGAGATGTATTCCATAAAGAAATCAAATCGACAAAATCACAAATTATTTCGATATGTTTTCTACAAGCAAATTAAATCGACAATATCACAAATATCAACAAATCAACCATGATTCAACTTGTTCTATTGCTGAATACATAAAAATCACACAAATTGAATTCAATCCAGTTTTCAGTTAAACAAAGACAGCAATTTTAGTACCAGGCGTGAAAATGATATTGATCATTGTTTGATAAACAAGCCACGCATGGCAGTCATATTGATTCTACAAGTAACATAGAAAACTTTATAATTCTAACTTTCGGATTATCTCTTTAAACTGTTCTTAGATTGTTGTTTTGTCCGGAACATCTTATATCATCTACCACATTGTAACTTTCTAGTATATTCTAACCCTGAGCACTGTATAGTGGTTCTACTGTCAGGGGAGCCAATTGTTGTATGATGTAGCCGTGGAGGGTTATCTCCTTGAACCGTTTTAAGAGTGTTTGTTGTCTTATACGGAATATCGTATATCATCTCTTCCTAGTGTGCTCTGAACCCGAGCTGTCCAGGATTCCATTGGTTGTATGATGTATCCGTGGAAGATTGTCTCTATGACTGTAAGTAGAAGTAGGTTTATAACAGTGATATGGCCGTGGAAGGTTGTCTCTATAAGTAGAAATAGGTTTAAACAGTTGTACAGTTAACAGTAAAATAATCGACTTATTGAACAATACGAGTATTGTCGATACAACACATGGTCTTTTTGTAAGTTCAAGATCCTTTTCTTCATTATGGTCTTCATTGTAAGTTCAAGATCCCCCTTCTTGGTATTTTATAAATATTTGTCAATCCCGGTGTTGAACGAGAAAGTTCATCTGGATTTTCCTGCATGGGCTTGGCAAGGGACAACACATAGCCGCTCAGATGAGACGAAAACCCAAGGTCCCGTGTACACATTGGCGTTGGAATTCGATATCATAACGCTGCTGTGCAGGCAAAATTTCCCTCATAGCACACGCACTGCATGGTGTGTTTGTCCATATTGATAGGTGCTGTACATGAGACAGGGTATGCTTACTTCTAGAACACCTGATACCACTTAGTCTACATATGTTGTACGTGAGACAGGGTATGCGTACCTGATACCCCTTCCAAATGTTTTCCCAAAATTGATACAACAATGAATGTGTGTACTTTCATCTCAGGAAGTCCTAAGGATTGTAAATAACTAGTCAATCCAACGTAGGTCATTTCCAGATTAACAATGTACCAAAACAATGTCAACTCAAACGACATGTACAATACTAGACCTTTAACCAAGGGAGTCACGGTGGCTCAGTGAATAAAACGATGGCTCGCTAACCTTGAGATCACTGTTTTAACAAAGAAAGTTCATCGGCATTGTCAGTGATGTAGGACAGAGGGCTTGGCACGGGATCACGTATATACGTTCGGGTGATACAAATTGGCTTGAATGTAAAAGATCCCTTTGCTTTTGGAATTTGATATCCGAGTAGACCATAGCGCCGTGGCCGAGCAAAACATCCCTCATAGCACACTTTGTAGCCTATGCCCGTCTTCATAAGCCTAGTCGGTCCATAACAGTAGGACGTTAAACTCAATTTCATTACATTTCTTTTCTTTAACTAATAAATGTAAATACTAGAAAGTAAATATATCTTAGTAAGTTTTAAAGTCGATATATTCACGAACCTTTAATTTGACTGACTGGTGACAGATGCTGACTTTTAATATGGCTACTAATCGTATTGTCGGCACAAGTAGAGTCTGAACAACCATGTCAAATAACGGGATAATATTATATTGATTATAGACTGGGTAATTGTGACTGTTAAGTGTGACATATGGAATATGTCTATATTATTACCTGTAGTGTGACGTGTAAGGGCTATGGAATTTAAAAAGAAGTGAAATCCAACCAGCAGCCAGGTAAATCTCATTCATATTTTAATCCACAACTTCTTGATTTAAATTATTATAGAATTAATTAATATATCATTGTAACTTGTGTTAGCAAATACATCCTTGATTATTTTGGGACTAACAACATATTCTGACGGAGAAAACCGCAGGACTCGGGGAAAACCCATGAGATTGGACAGGCGAGCCTAATCAACTGTAGTCGAAACCATGCCATTTGACTTAATAGCAGACCTCGCGAGTCAACAGACACACGCTTGAAACCATTCACCCCCATCCCTCAATTTGGGAAAGGTGTGGACATTGTTACAATATGACGCTTGTGTAAACTGTACTAACAGGTAACGCAAACAATGATTTAGTTTGAAATTACTTGTGGAAAGATACAAGGGTATTCATTACTTCCATTCTCTATCAGCTGAAATAATTATTAATATTATCAAATATATTGTGATTGAACTAGGAGAAATGAAATGGTGTTTAACGTCTTATTGTTCTGTTCCGACTGGATAATGAAGACATGTACACGCAAAACAATCGGCCATGAGGGAAACGGTATCTGGACAGAGAGAGAGAGAGAGAGAAATGGGGTTTAACGTCCACTCGACACAAACTAGGTCATTTCGGGACTAACATATGGTTTTTAATTTTATTTCAATAATTCGCTTGCGCGTAGGGGTCTTTAGCAGTGGGGGAAACCGGAGGACCCGGAGAAAACCCACGAGATTGGACAGGCGACCCTACTCCTTGTCACGTACAACCGGGGATTCGAAACCACGCCAGTTGACTCAATGACAGGCTTTTTGATACAGCACGCACGTGCTAACCATTCGGCCATCCAACTCCCCGTATCTGGACAGCGACAGCCTACTCTTATAACGAATTCCAACTGTCAAGGAATTCTTTACGTGCATGCCAATATGTGCACGGGACTTCGGTTTGTCGTCCCATTGGAATGATTACACCTCGTCCCCTGCCCGGTCCCCCTTTCTACAACCACTGACGGGGGGGGGGGGGGCGAATGACGGTGAATGTGTAGGACCTGGGTTTTTCGTCCAATCCAAACGACTATACTTCGTCCCCTGAACGGTCCTACACCACTGACAAGGGAGAACTAACATAATCATCTTTCTATTGTAGAGCTCGTGCATCCTATATATCTGGATATATTAATCTGGAATAACTGGGCCACCAGTCTCGGTGGAAGCCGAAGTGTACCGAATGGGTGTTTGATAAACGCGGTATCATTGGATGACACGACCCTTTACAAGAACATGGGTGAAAAGAATTAAAATGGACATTTTTTCTTTATCAAATCAATGAATCTGGAATACTTGAGATACGTGATTTATTCTTAAAACATTATTTGTGAAACGCACGTACCAAAAATTTAAAATGAAGATATTTAAACGTAAATTTTTAATAAAACTGGTTTTAACCATGTTGTTAGTATGGACGATACTACTGGTCAAAATGGCGATAGACACATCAGTTCCAAATTTACACGAGCCAATCGAAATGCTTATATTTGGCGGGAAACAGAAGCTATTACGACGGAATGTAGGATATTATATAGGCGAGGATCGTGTGAAGAAATGGGGATTTAAACATATGCCGAACTTTACCCTGATGGCAGAAAAATTTGATTTAAAAACCGTAGGTAGGTATTAATTATTTTCTTTTACTATATCTCAAAATTGGGAATAAAAATTTATTAATATGGGGCTTAACGTTCTAAATGTAAGCAACATCCAGACTAACAAAGACGTGCTTCCTCCGCCTACTATTTGCCAATTTACGTGCACGGCAACTTATACATCGGGGCTCGGGTTTTCGTCCTATCCAAACTATTATCTATAGACACTTTTCATTGTCAGACCCCCACCTTCTCCGTCCTACGCCCCTAACAAGGGGGGTATTTAAAACACCCAAAAATATCAAAATGTGTGCCATAAGGTCAAATGACGGACAATGTTTATTATTCATTTGTAAATGTCTTAGAAATGAAATTCGGTTCAACGTCCGACTGGCATACGCTATACAGTGTACTGTGAAGTAAAGTCTGCCCGGACTGCGGCACTGCCCTTTTATTCAGTCTCAAAATAACCTAGGTATGGGTTTCACAAGCCTACCGTTATTACTAGGTGAAATGGGCAAATCACTTATACTGGTTTAATATTAATTGAACACGGATTTTTTTTATCATTACCATGCAAACCAATTGTACTGTCATTTATTAATTGATCACGTGTTTTCCATCACTACCAGGCAAAACAATTATGCTGGCAATTAGTTCTATCATTACCATGCAAACCAATTATACTGGCAATTATTAATTGAACACGTGTTTTCTATCATTACCATGCAAACCAGTTATACTTGGCAATTATTAATTGAATACGTGTTTTTCATTATTTCCATGCAAACCAAGTATTTTAAATACGTGTTGTCCATTATTACCAGGTGAAATGGGCGAACCAATTATACTAGGACCGCGTAATTTAACACGTGTAGAAGCTAAGAAGATGGATCATGGTTTTGCTCAACATGCCATCAACGAGTACGTTGGTAATCTCGTGTCTGTTAGACGTAAAATCCCGGACGCCAGGACACCCGAGTGAGTTTATTTTTTTTATCCTATTTCTCGAAATCCTAATAAAAATATATAGAACATGATCTTTTGAAAGTTTTGATTGCCTAGAGGTGGCTCAAGAAATAACATATCAGCTAAATCGAATTCTATGGAAGCCTATTGTGGTCATTTCATAATCTTGTCTTCTCGTAACGAGAGGTCGAGGAGTCGAATGTGTGAGTAGTGTCTATCACCCAAAAAATATTCTACGAATATTGGTCTGGATGCGTTGTCAACATTTGAGAATAACAGGTCACTGGCTAGATTATCCGATCTTTTACATTATCAAAAACAAAATCTAAGGGAGATAACTAGTCATAAAACAAAATGTCGACGGCCATGAAATTAATTTAAGCATGCCATTTCAGAAAATCCATTTGATTGCATTGCCAGTTCAATATCCAACACTCTTAATTTTATTTATAGTGAAATTTCTCTCTCTCTTCATGGGCCATGTCTATGGGGTTTTTTTTTAATTAATCCTAATTCGTCGTGACGATTTATGTTTATTTATAATAATGAAAGAATTATGGGACTTATTGCCGAAGGGGGCACAACTCTTACTTGACTTGGCCAAAGATACTGGATAATCAACCACATAAAAACCAATATTGACAACGGTCCCAGATTAGGAGGTTCTGGGTGACCGAGACTAGGGAGTGAGAAGTCGTGGAAGAGGAGACGAGTGTGCGAGAACGCAGGAAAACCGGATGTGAAGTCGAGATTATGAAATGGACGCAATAGGCTGCCATACAACACTGTTCCTTATTTTGATTTAAATCAATGAGAGGTAGATACTGTAAAGGTTAAATACATCATTTCATGGTGGAAAACATTCCTGTGTAAAAATGACAAATTGTTAAAAAAACAATAAATGGAATGAAATGAAGTACTAGGAGAGCAGCCTGTGTTAATCAGTAAAAACAGGTACAGATGTAAACATTTAACAGTTATAATGCTGTTATTTAAATTATTTCACGTTGGTGGTTTTTCAAATGCAGACAGCTGTATTTTGTATTTATTCATTTATTTTTTTGTGATCGATGCTATAGTATGAAATGTGAATGAAAATCTGGGAGAACGGTAGATCGGAGACGATCTAGCACATATGACGTGATATGTGAAGTGTGGGTTAGGGTTAGGACCACAGATTTCCCCAATGTCTCGAGATATAAACAGGGCTAGTGCTAACCCTAACCCTTATCCTAGCTAGCCCAAAACCTAAACCCAACCCACAATCCACATATGACGCCATTTGTGCTAGTCCGTCTTCGATCTAGCGGGCTCCGAAAATCTGGCGGAAAAATCTGGAACCTGTTTTATATCATATATTATATATTTTTGGTATGGTGTTACAGATGTTTATCGAACCTTCCGAAGGACTGTAGGGAACAACACCGAATTATCCCGATGAAGTTTCTCGACCGACTGAGAGTTCTAGTTCTGTTTTATATCGTATTTGTTTATTGAAATGAAATGAAATGGGGTTTAACGTCCTACTCTTCTGCACCTAACCTGGGCTAATTGAAGACGGGCATACGCCATACAGTGTGCTATGAGGGAAATTTTGCCCGGGCAGCGGCGCTACGGCCTACTCTTATATCGAATTCCAACTGCCAAGGGATCTTTTACGTGCACGCCAATGTGTACACGGGACCTCGGTTTTTCGTCCCATCCGAACGACTAGGCAGCTGTCCTTGTCAGGCCCTCCGTTCTGCATCACTGACAAGGGGAAACCACGCCGGAAAATCGAGATGAACTTTCTCGGCCAATGCAGGGATCGAACACCCGACCTCCAGGCTAGCGAGCCAGCGCCTTACCCACTTAGCCACATTTGTTTATTGTGTTTCAGGTGTAAACGGGTTAAGTATCCAGAGGATCTACCTAGAACAAGTATCATCATGTGTTTTTATAATGAAGCCTGGACGAATCTATTGCGGAGTGTCCATAGTATTATAGATCGCACACCAGATAGACTTCTGGAAGAGATTATTCTAGTTGATGATAACTCCACACTAGGTTAGTAGTATAGACCGAACACCAGACACACTAAGTTAGTAGTATAGAACGCACACCAGATATACTTTTAGTTGATGATAAATCCACTCTAGCTTAGTATTATAGACCGCACACAAGACAGACTTCTAGTTGATGATAAATCCACTCTAGGTTACCATTATAGTCCGGTGGTATAGACCGCACACCAGACACACTTCTAGCTGTTGATAAATCTCCACTTGGTTAGTATTATAGACCGTACACCGGATATACTTCTAGTTGATGATAAATCCACTCTAGCTTAGTATTATAGACCGCACACCAGGTTAGTATTATTGATCGCATATCCGACACACCAGACGGACATCTAGGTTAATGTATCAATAATATTCTACATGTAAACGAGGCAGAGTGTGCTTACTTTTTCCTGGACACTTCGTCATTATTGAGATGTTGATTAATTTCATATACTCCAATTAAGGAGGAGTGACGTATGATTTTCGTAATTAGTTAGCGTAGCTGCGCTATCACTACATGAAAGAATCATTGACAGACAGTTGAAATTCAGGTGCTGTTCAGGCATGTTTTCATTAGCCAGACTGGTTCAGAAAAGTAGGAGCTTCGCCGTCATTCATTAATTCATTCAATCATGCATTCATTCGATATAACCAGTGGTTCAAATCTAAAGTCCAGAATTCTGCCAAATCGAGCAACGAAAAAAGGTGTGCTTGCTACATTATCCCATAACATCGATTCCAGGGCCGGATTAAAGGCGGAGTTGGGGGCGGACATACGTCATATATTACGGTGGAGTTTAACAAGGGGCGCATACAATTGTCGTAGATACGGTAAGATAACAATCCGCAATTAAACGCCGCTTTAATTAAAATAGTAATTTTTTTATTTGTAGATTATTTACACGATCCTCTGGAAGAATATATGAGTCAGTTTCCTAAAGTAAAATTAGTTCGTACTGGTAAACGTCAAGGTTTAATAAGAGCTAGATTATTTGGTTTTAACCATACATCACCCAGAACTTCTATTGTTACATTTCTAGATTCACATATAGAATGTTTTGAAGGTAAGATACTCGATAACCCTTTACCCTTTCTAGAATACTCGATAACCCTTTGGGGGTTGGATGACTGAATGGCTAGCGTGCGCGCGCTGTATCATAAAGTCTGTCATTGAGTCAACTGGCGTGGTTTCGTTTCCCCGGTTGTACGTGACAAGGAGTAGGATCGCCTGTCCAACCTCGTGGGTTTTCTCCAGTTCCTCCGGTTTTTTCCCACTGCTAAAGACCCCTACGCGCAAGCGAATTATTGAAATAGAATTAATCCATATGTTAGTCCTGAAATGACCTAGTTTGTGTCAGGTGGACGTTAAACCCCATTTCTCTCTCTCTCTCTCTCTCTCTCTCTCTCTCGATAACCCTTTATCCTTTCTACAGTACTCGATAATCCTTTCTAGAATACTCGATTGTCCTTTCGAGAATACTCGATAATCCTTACCCTTTCTGGAATACTCGATAACGCTTTACCCTTTCTAGAATACTCGATATTTACAAATTTTAAGGCACTGGTTCGCCAACCTGGAGATCCTGGGTTCGTTCCTAGTGTTTGCCTAGCAAGTTCATCGGGATTTTTCGGTGTGGTCCCCGCTAGTTGGTGATGCAAGACAGAAGGCCTGGAAAGGAACAACATCTTGTTGTTTGGATGGTGTGAAAACCCGAGGTGCAGAATTCGATATAAGAGGAAACTGTCCCTCATGTCACACTTTATGGTGCATGCCGGTCTTTATTAGCTCCTTAAACCCCATTTGGGTTATTTGTCCAATAATTATAGTTTACCCTAATAATTAAAGTTTATCTTCTACTAGTATAGTTTATCTTCTACTAGTATAGTTTATCTTCGGCATTTTTAAAATGCGCCATTTAACTATCAGAAGTGGCCATGTTATATTTCATATTAGAACTGGGAACAATTTATAGGCTTAATTCGATAATCTACACATTGCTAAAATCCACCCATGGCTAAAATCCACCCATTGCTAAAATCCATCACATCTATTGTTAAAATCCATCCATTGCTAAAATCCATCCCATCCATTGCTAAAATCCATCCATTGCTAAAATCCAGAATTGATATGTTTATTTTAACAACAAAACACATACTTATGGAAAACAGCTACTAGTGTATTTAAGGCGACGTTTCGTAGAGTATTCTCTCAACGTTATCAAGCTAGCTGTTTTCCATAAGTATGTGTTTTGTTGTTACTCTATCCAGTTACTAAATGCCATTTAAAGAACATGTTTATTTTAGTTTTCTGTCCTATTGCAGAAGGACTGGTTAGTCGAGTGGTCTAACTTGTACACTTTGGGTCACAAGGTTTGTCAATTAGTCAAGTGGCGCAGTTTTATTCCGCCCACATGGATTCCTCTCAGAGCTAACACACAAACGAATTATGTTGGCCCTAGCAAAACTAGTTTGTGTCGAGTGGACATTAGCGCTTTTCCGATTGTTCTATTTATTAATTCTTATTTCTTACTGCCGTTTTGTAACGTAATTCATTATATACTATTGCTGAATGAACAGGATGGCTGGAGCCGATGTTGTTGCCTATAGTGGAGGACTCTAGAGCCGTGACCATGCCGTGTATTAATGCTATAGACGATATGACCTTCAGAGTTGATACCGGTCAACCATATCAAGTTGGGATGTTTGTTTTACCTAGTCTCAGGTTCGCCTGGATGACTATACCCGAACATGAACAAAGACGACGACGATCAACGGCCGATCCCATCAGGTAATTAATCACTTGTAAAACTACTGTAAGACTACAGATAAATGGGGTTTAACGTCCTACTGTTATGCTCCGAGTGGGCTGGGGAAGACAGGCATACACCATGCATACACCATGCATACAGTGTGAAATGGGGGTAATTTTGCTCAGGTACTACGGCCTCATCTTATATCGAATTATGAATGTCAATGGTTCTTTTACGTACACTCTAATGTGTACACGGGACCCCGGATTTTCGTCCCATTCGAAAGACTATGCGGTGTCCCTTACCAGGCCATATGATCTGCGTGACTGACAAGGGAGGGGGCCACGGCGGGAAATCCCGATTAGCTTTCTTGGTGAACATATACAGAGATCGAACACTGGACTTTGAGGGTTAGCGAGCCAGCACCTTACTCACTGAGCCACCGTGAAAATGGTAATTCCGTTGTATAAAACGATGTTAATTGTATGTCCTGCTATGGCTATAGTGGATTGTATTAATCCATGGTGGTTGTCTTGTTTTCAGATCCCCTGCTATGGCCGGTGGGTTGTATTAATCCATGATGGTTGTCTTGTTTTCAGATCCCCTGCTATGGATATAGTGGGTTGTATTAATCCATGTCGATTATCTGTTTTCAGATCTCCTGCTATGGCTGGTGGGTTGTTTACTATTAGTAAGTCATACTTTAATCATATTGGTACGTATGACGAACAACTGAATGTGTGGGGTGGAGAAAATATTGAATTATCTTTAAAGGTAGGCGGCTTATTCCAATGTTTGTTTTTTTCCCATTTCACAGATTTGATTCTCGTTCACAACCCTAAATTCAAATTGACAAAAGAGAAACAATAAAACGGAGAACATTTTGACGATGACGATAACCATCCTGAAGGTGTTGATAATCATTTTGCCCGTGAAGTTATCGCAACCATAAGTCTCGGTCACCCAGAACCTCCTAGTCTTCTTCGTAGAATATTTTTTTCTGGATGATAGAGAGTCAGACTACGAAACCATTCTCGTCATGTAAAGCTGAAAAATTTTGGACAGAGGTGAACCCGGAAGCCGTATACAACCGGAAATACTGAAAAGTCTTTGGATTGGAGTCTTGTTTGACTTGTCCCAGGTGCTGTATAGGCATATCTAGTACCATTATGGAATGTTGATACTATATATCGTTCATTTTACTATTGGTTGATTTTACCGAATTCTTCCGTTGGATTCAGCAGTTTGACTACTGGTCAGGATGAACCTATTTGACTATTACCTAAACTGACGAATTAAATTGGGATTCATCTGTCCCAGATGTTGTATCAGTTTCGTTATGTTTCTAATTGCTAAATGCCACTAAAGGATTATGTCCCAGATGTTGTAAAGCCTAGGTATAATTTCGAACCATTATGGGATTTTGTCACGATGCATCGTTCACTTTCTGTTGATCGAATTTACCGAATTCTTCCGTTGGAGTTAGATTATTCCTCTAAACTGGTTATGAGTCGTATGACGGAAGAACGGTCTGCGCGGAATTTAGTGCTAACAATTTTTATCTGTCTTTATGTAGACAACTGACCCAGGACCAAATAGTCGTCAACATGCGGAGGGTCTGGGTTTCCGAGACTAACTGCTGACACGTTTTATTTGTCTTTATTTTTCAGATATGGATGTGTGGTGGGTCTATTCTACTCATACCTTGCTCTCATGTAGGTCATATCTTCAGGAAACGTTTACCATATACTGGTGGTTTCCATGAGTTAATGAGAAACCTGGCCCGAGTAGCGAACGTCTGGTTAGATGACTATAAAGATAAATTCCAGAATTATAAAGGAAATATAGAGGTACGTGATGTGACCGGTTACCATAGCAATAAGGTCCGAAAGCTTTCTGACAATACGTTAATACCCCGATGATGTCACAATTATTTCGAATTCAAACTGCCAAGGGTTCTTTTACGTGTATACGGGACCTTGGTGTTTCGTCTCACCCGATGTTGTCCTTTGCCTATCTTCCGTCCTAAACTACCATATAAGACCAATGACTAGGGTCTGAGACCTTAAAGGAATATTTAATCTATAAAGACAAATTTTTATTAGAAAATTGGCCGCTGTCAACATTTGCTGAAATCCCCAGAATGTTGGCTTATTGGTTCCCAATGCTCTATGTCAGATCTTGTACCATCCCTTGCTATTTATTCTACCTTCTTGTTACTTTCCCTTGCTATTTATTCTAAGTTCTTGTAACATCCCCTTGCTATTTATTCTACCTTCTTGTTATCATCCCTTGCTATTTATTCTACGTTCTTGTAACATCCCCTTGCTATTTATTCTACCTTCTTGTTACTTTCCCTTGCTATTTATTCTACCTTCTTGTTATCGCCCCTTGCCATTTATTCTACCTCCTTGTTACCATCCCTTGCTATTTATTCTACCTTCTTGTTACTTCCCCCAGTTCTTTATTCTACCTTCTTGTTACCTCCCCTTGTTACATCTCCTAGATTGTTAATTCTACGTTCTTGTTACATCCGCTTGATTGTTAATTAATTCAACATTATTGTTACCTCCCCTTACAGCCGTATGGTGATATATCTGATAGATTACGACTCAAAGAGAAATTACAGTGTCATAGTTTCGATTGGTACAGACAGCATGCATATCCGGAATTGTATTTTGTTGGTTCTGGTGTATTTTACGGCACTGTAAGTATTTTTTTGATTACTTTAAGGGTTCGGTTAAGTCTAGGACCCCCACCCCCACCCCCCTCGGCGACATGTTCATTTTTTTCCAAACTTTCTATTAAAACTATTGGGGGTACGTAAATTCAATTTACGATTTTCTTCCCTGTGATATAATTCGTTGCCATAAATCAAATTTTCGTGAAAATCTCAAATATATTGATAATAAGAAGGGTTACATATCAGGAGTAAAATCTCGGTATTGTGTCTTCCCGATGAAAACAAGACTTCCAGATTAGCGAGTCAACGTCTTACTTACAGAGCCACCTTGACCCGTTCTGGAAAATCAAAGTTTGTATAAAGAACTGTATATTTTGTAGATCCGGAATGTTGAGGAACCTAATATTTGTATAGATGCCAATGGTGGCGAACCTGGCAAGGATATTATACCTTATGGATGTCACGGTGGAGATTCACAGGTAATTTTAACTTTCTCCAAAACTGTGATGTGGTATCGGGTGTTCTTTTAGAATCTATCCCAGGATAAAGTAGTGTCGATATCACAAACAATTTAACACCTTTCTTGTTATTCTTTGGGACATTATGATCTCTTAGAAATGGTTTCAGACAATCTGAATATTAATGGAAACAAAATAGGGTTTAATATCCCATTGTTCTGCACCGTCTGGGCTTGGGTTCGAATGACTTGCATTGTATAGATGATAAACGACTGTATCGCCCAATTTTATTCGTAAACCTGACGTGCCATATCCCTCGATTTTATACATTCATTCTTATTAGTAAACCCTGTCGTCCCTCAGAAGATCTAACGCGGGGTGGGGAGAATATAAATCATTGTAGATCAGACGGAGGGAGGGTTTGGGATTATAAAGCTTTGTAGATCAGACGGGGAGAGGGTGGGGTGATTATAAAGCTTTGTAGATCAGACGGAGAGAGGGTGGGGGATTATAAAGCTTTGTAGATCAGACGGAGGGAGGGTGGGGGATTATAAAGCTTTGTAGATCAGACGGGGAGAGGGTGGGGTGATTATAAAGCTTTGTAGATCTGACGGGGGAAGAGTGGTGGGATTATAAAGCTTTGTAGATCTGAACGGGGTAGGGTGGGGTAGGGTGGGGTAGGGTGGGGTAGGGGTATAAAGTTTCAAACCATAAGACCTATCACTGAGTCATGTGACGTGGTTTCCATACCCATTGTCATGGGTGCCAAGGAGTAGGGTCAAATATTAAAGACGGGAAGAATATTAAACGACAGCATGCGATAGAACTGGTTATACATATTCCGAATATAATTTTTATCACGGATAAAATGTAAATGTACACACGCATTGATGACGTCACACACAAAATCACTACGGATACGTGATACGGACCAGGAATTTAAGTTTGCCTAAAGTGTCTATTATGTTTCTAGAACAGCTTATAGGACGTCTCAGTCACATAGCTAAGGCTTTTTATATGTCTGTGGGGTCGTTGGTATTCATATAGCTAAAGCTTTCTGTTGATATTATATGTACAACCAATCTGATTAAAACACAGATCCTATTTCGTTTCGTTTTTTATAGTTCAAAATTTATTTTTACTTGTCTTCACTACACTGGGATCCGGAAGAGTTGTTATATTACCGGCGCTTTCGTTGAAGTGAGGTATTAGCCAATGAAACGGTCTGTTACGGTAAACCACTAGAAACGTCATTGGGTCAAAGCCGCTCCTACGACCCCTGACACGATCTTCCAGTACAATTTTTCAGATCTCCATGTATTTTAATCAGCTTGAATAGTTGAATATTATAATGTATTATATTATAGAAATGGGATTATACAGAGAATATGCAAATTCGACAAGCAGGTGCTTGTATAGACTGGAGCAGTCAGAAAAGTGTACAAAATCAGAAATGTAATATACAAGGGTCACAGAGCTGGAAATATAAGGTAGGTAAGATTCTAGTGCATGGATGAATGATTAGTGTCTGTATTCATTATATTTTATTATAATTACTAGACCTCTTTGATTACATCGTCCTTTAATTTGATACGAGTCTATTTGATTTGTCAGATGATAATGCCGGGACGTTCAGTGAATACTAAGAAATTCACATACATATAGAAAGCTTTAGCTATATGAATACCAATGACCCCACATACATATAAAAAGCCTTAGCTATGTGACTGAGAAGTGCTATAAGCTGTTCTAGAAACATAATAGACACTTTAGGCAAACTTAAATCCCTGGTCCGTATCGCGTATCCGTAGTGATTTTGTGTGTGACGTCATCAATGCGTGTGTATTTCTCATACGTGATACGACACACGGATACGGCAGCACGTATCGAACATCTTTCATACGGAAAAGGTCCGTATAACATCGTCGTCTTTTTGCTACTTTTAGACGCTGAAATGTTGTGCCGTAGCGTTTTATGAATCTATGTGTATCCTAGAACACGAATGTGTATAGTTGGGGTGATTTTAACCATGGCAAAGACTGGAATTTAATCATTACTGTTGATGAGCTTTTTGCGGAATTTTCATATTTTTCCTGTCTGTCTGCATGCTGGTTGATCTATATACGTGCTCAATTTAGGGAGGTGGGACCTTGCAAATCTGTAAAAGGGGTATAAACTTTTTGAAATGATACAATAGAGAAACCAAAAATTGCTGTCGAGTTGAAGTCGAAGATTTTTTTAATAAGATTCGACACTAAATGTTTTTTAAATTTTAAATAACTCAGCGACTGTCGAGCGACTGTCGAGCGACTTTACTCCTTTCAGGAATTTTAGGCTAGTCACTAACTGCCATCATGTTGTAATTGACTTCAGCTCAGCTAGCCATACGTACGCGGCGCGAAAATTCTGCCAAAACTCTAAAAACTACATTGACGCAACGTATCACGTGATGATACGGATGCGTGATACGGATGGGAAAGATTCCACTTGCCAAATGTCTCTAATATGTACATTCCCTAAACAAGAAATGGTATCAGGTGTTCTAGAAACAATAAACAAACTATGTAAAGTCCTCAAATGAGAAATGAGAAGTGATGTGTAGCTTTTCTTCTAGAAACAGTAGGCAAACTATGAGAAGTAGTCTCATGTGTTATAGAAACAGTAGACAATCTAGGAGAAGTAGTATCATGTGTTATAGGAAGAGTAAGCAAACTATGAGAAGTAGTATCATGTGTTATGTAAATAGCAGACAAACTATGGGAAGTAGTATCACTTGTTAAAGAAATAGTAGACAAACTATGGGAAGTAGTATCATGTGTTAAAGAAAGAGAAGACAAACTATGGGAAGTAGTATCATGTGTTATTTTAAGAGTAGGCAAACAATGGAAAGTAGTATCATGACTGTGTTATAGAAAGAGTAGGCAAACTATGAGAAGTAATATCATGTGTTAAAGAAAGAGTCGGCATGCTGTGCGAACTCCTCAAATGAGAAATGTTATCAGCTGTCCTAGAAACAGAAAGCGTCATGTGTGAACTACACAAATGGAAATTAGTATTAGGAGTTCTCGAAAGAGTAATAAAACCCTATGAGAAGTGATACCCGGTGTTCTGATGTACAATGCCTCGTGCACGACAACCGTCACTAGGTAATACACGTCTTTTTTTTCATTTATTTTTCAGGATCAGTTGATACAAAATAGAAACATGGAAAAATGCATCGGACTATCAAAAGATTCTAAATTTATTGAAATGCAAAAATGTGATCGTCGACAAAAACAACTGTGGATTTGGCCCAAAGTTCGCGAGCCTTTTATTCCAGACTTTTTCTACTTCATGTGAATATTAAGTGAAACGCGACTTTTTTAACTAACATAGATCCTTGTTATTAATCAACGATTTCTATATTCTGGTATATTGAACACATATCATGTGGTTTCTGTGCCGTGGATAACTAGAGAGAGTGCATAAGATGAGATGGAATGTTCGACTGATGGATTTTGTATCAGAAGTAATTTCTTTCTAGGATTTGAGTAATGTGCCGCTGAAAAACCGACCAAAAAACAAGTTAAGGAAACCTTGAACGCATCCTTAATATTGATGCAAATATATTTCATTTGAGAAAAAGATACAAATAATGTGCCTTTGACAAACCAATGAATACACAAATTTAATGAATCCTTGAATGTGTACATGATATTAATGTTTTATGATATTAATATTACATGATATGTAAATTTAACATAATATATTAATGTTAAATGGTATATTAATGTAACATAATATATTACATGATATGTTAATTTTACATGATATATTAATGTTACATGATAGATTAATGTTACATGACATGTTAATGTTACATGACATGTTAATGTTACATGACATGTTAATGTTACATGAAATGTTAATTTTACATGGTATTTTAATTTTACATGAGATATTTATGTTACATGATATGTTAATGTAAATGATATATTAATGTTACATAATATTTTAATGTGATAGATTAATATTAGATGATATATTAATGTTACATTATATGTTACATGATATATTAATGTTACATCATATATTAATGTTACATCATATTTTAATATTACATTATTTGTTACATGATATATTAATGTTATATGATATTTTAACATTACATGATATATTAATGTTACATTATATGTTACATGATATATTAATGTTACATGATATTTTAACATTACATGATATATTAATGTTACATTATATGTTACATGATATATTAATGTTACATGATATGTTAATGTTACATGATATATTAATATTACATGCTATATTAATGTTACATGGTATGTTACATGCTATATTAAGGTTACATGATATGTTACATCCTATATTATTGTTACATAGTATATTACAATATATATTAATGATACATGATATGTTACATGATATATGATATAGAAATGTTACATGATATAGAAATGTTACATGATATAGAAATGTTACGTGATATAGAATTGTTACATGATATAGAAGTGATATATTAATGTAACATGGTATATTATTTGTTACATGATATATTAATTCTGCATGATATCAATATTAATAATTCTATTTTTGATGATGACATTAGTTTATCTGTAAACTGATCGGTATTTGTATTTTACTCTATGATTGACAGCCAATAATTGTGTCTTTGACAATATGAGATGAAGGAAATTGAATTTTTTTTTTCTAAACAATATTTATTCACAGAAACTTGATTGGAGAACAGGCAAAAGCCTATAGACCCCCTCTCCATAAAAGTACAAACATAAATATATAATGAGAAGTAAAGTAAAGTAAAGTAAAGTGAACGATTAAATTATAAGATGACTATATACACGATATGTACAAACCACAATCAGAGTGTTTTTATTTCATAAATTTACATACGGAATTTTCTAAATCTTTGGGAGATTGAAATAATAATAAAATGATGTTAATGCTAATATTTGAATGATCAAAGATGATTTTTCAAGTCGCAGTGGTTCAGTGAGTAAGACGCTGGCTCGCTAGCCTGGAGTTCTCGGGGTCACTCCCCAGTGTTGGCCAAGAAGGTCATCGTCAGTGGTACAGGGCGGAGGGCCTGGCAAGGACAGCGTCTAGTCTTTAGGATAGGACGAAAATGTCTCATGGACACATTGGGATGCACTTAAAAGAAACCTTTGCAGTTGGAATTCGATGTAAGAGTAGCTTATAGCATGACGTATGTCCGTCTTCATTAGCCCAATCAGTGCAGAAAAGTAGGACGTTTAACCCCATTTTATTTCATTCTTATTCCTAAATATTGCCGCAATGGACAGTAGAGTTGTCCTCCCTTGAAGGATTTAAAACAGGTGATTTTTAGAAAGGGACGAATAAGACGGTTGAATATGTACAGTACATGATTAATGAGGGAGGTGACCGAATGGTTTCGAATTCCCCACGTGTGCATGACAAAGAGAAGGTTTGCCTGTCCAGCCTCGTGGGTTTTCTACGCGTCCTCCTGTTTCCTCTCACTGTTACAACTTGGATTAGTAAGTTCACGTGATAGAAACCATTATGGTAGAATTATTCTTTTCGTGCGTATGATAAATTCTGTTATGGTAGAATCGTTCTTTTCACACGTACTTTCATTAATAAATTCCATTATGGTAGAATTTTAATGTTAGTGTACAAGGGTCTGGACAAGTGAGCAATATCGCATTCGCATTGCTTTGAAGAAATATACTTAACCTACACGAAATAAGCAGACTTAACCTTGCTCCCAGCACCGTTCATCGGGATTTTCCGACGTGGTTTCTACTTGACAGTGGTGCAGGACGAAGGGTCTGACAAGGACAACTGTCTAGTCTTTCGGATGGGACGAAACACCGAGGTCCGGAGTATACATTGACGTGCACGTAAAAGATCCCTTGGCAGTTGGAATTCGATATAAGAGTAGGGTAGGTCATAGTGCCGCTGCCCGGACAAAATTTCCCACACAGCACACTGTATGGCGTATACCCGTCTTCATTAGCCCAGTAGGAGCAGGACAGTAGGACGTTAAACCCCATTTCATTTCATTTTCATTCCGCCCCCAGCACAATGACCTTGACATCGATCTTACTGATAAGTCAAAACCGTGAGAATTGAGTCCTGGTGATCAACCGAGAATTAATCAGAATGCTGAACAGAATGATGTGGCAAGTTGGATTTGTTTTGTTTAATATTTTATCTGCGAGAATATATGCCGCTAGTTTGGGTAAGTAGACCAGGGGATTTGTGGTAATGTAAAACACAGTCAAGATCTGCCGTGTTTGACTTCGCTCGCCAGCATCCAAACGGGTTAAGATGGCATGCATTTTGTTCTCTTACATTTATTGAAATAATCTCGAACAAACAACACACGATCCATTGCCTCCGCTTTGGCCCCATTCCACTCTCACCCCTCCACCACTAGTTGTTTTCATGGCAAGTAAAGGTGGGGGATGGATGGCATAATGGTTAACGCGTGCGCGCTGTATCATAAGGCTTGTCATGGAGTCAACTGGCGTGGTTTCGATTCCATTGTTGTACGTGACAAGGAGTAGGGTCGTGTGTTTTCTTCGGGTCCTCCGGTTTCCTCCAACTGCCATAACGTAGTCTAAGAGTAAGCGAATTATTGAAATTAAATTGAACCATGTGTTAGTCTCGAAATGACCCAGTTTGTGTCGATTGGACGTTAAACCCCATCTCCCCCTCCCTCCCCCCTCTCTCTCTCTCTCTCTCTCTCTCTCATGGCATATATATAGAGAACACGAATAGATATCCCTATCTTCCCTCTTGTAAATTTTCCATTATTATATATTGTAGGTTCCTATAATGTTGATTCTAACCAAGTGTCCGTGTCTGGAATATCATCGGGTGCTGCCATGGCAACACAGGTGCACGTGGCGTTATCTAGTAGAATAATGGGTGTTGGTTTAGTAGCGGGACGTAAGAGTTACTTCCCTTTGTTTTACAATGAATTTACAGAAATACGTTTGTTTGATAAATAATAGAGAATCCCAATAAGGAGTTTTCCATAGAATTTTGTTCGATATATTTCCTATTCACTTACTAAATGCTATCCATATAAATACAGAAATGGACATAGGTCTGTTCTAGTACAATATTAGTTAATCGTGTGACTAACACGGGCAATTTATATTCTAGGCAATGAAAAAGGCTTTTGACTGCGGGTACCGCGTTTCCGTCTAATTGTCAAGGGTTCTTTTGCATGCACTTCAATGTGTACACGGATGAATATCGGCGTTCCATCCGTCCATCCGATCATCCGACACAATTTCCTTGTCAACCAAATTTACGTGAAGGTTCATCCCGGTCCACATCGGCATTCGGATCTGGGACAGTCTTGCCAAACCCAACACTCCTACCACTTTGAAGATTAAAGATACATTATGGAAGATTAGATAAAGAGCTGACAGTTCCCACTACAATAGTTAAAAACTAATAGATAATGTAAAGGGAATTTGCTGAAAGTTTCAGTCAAATTGATCCACTCTGAACCGAGAAAGTCGGTAGGATAAGAAACACAGTCTCAATTATCCATTTCATGATTAAATCATGAATGACATTAGAGCACGAATCGGATCCTAATCCAGTAAATATCGCAGACTATCCTTGACATCGAGAGTTGATTATGATCTGGATAAGTTAATTAATGTCTAATTAATAATTTAGATAACATTTCAGACCTAAAGAAAGATCTGCAATAGCTCTTGCATAATGTATGAATATATGTTTAATGATTGTTTAGGAATTGAAATGTTATGATCATATGTATGTGATCTGTTTTATTTATCTGTTGCCAGTAGGCCGTTAAACCCCATTTGATTTGTTTTACTTATTATGATATGTGTGTTCTCTGTTTTGTTTTTTAAAATAGTACCATATATGTGTGCGGAGGGTTTGGCTGTAACAGCTTTAACCTGTATGAATACCCCTGGTCTAGTGAGTGTCTCTGTATTGGAGGGTATCACAGCATCAGCTGATCTGGTGGGTAACATAGATTCTACCAGTAATATAGCCACCAGTAAAGTTTATATATTCGCTGGTACTAAAGACACAGTGGTGAAACCAGGTTAGTATGGGTTTTATTCTTGAAATTCTCAGAGAGTATAATTAAAACTTACGACTAAATGGCCACCATATATAGTCACCAGTAATGTTAATATATTCGTTGGTACAAAGGTGAGAGAGAGAGAGAGAGAGAGAGAGAGAGAGAGAGAGAGAGAGGGGGGGGGGTAAGGTCCAGTCTACACAAACTACGTCATTTCGGGACAAACATATGGTTCGATTTTATTTCAATAATTAATTCGCTTGCGCGTACGAGTCTTTAGCAGTGGGGGGAAACCGGAGCACCCGGAGAAAACCCACGAGGATGGACAGGCGACCCTACTCCTTGTCACGTCCAACCGGGGAATCGAAACCACGCCAGTTGACTCAATGCTCAATGACAGACCTTATGATACAGTGCGCACGTGCTAACCATTTCCCCCCAACCCCCGCCGCGCGGTACAAAGAGCACTGTAGTGATGTCTGGTTAGTTTTATTCTTGAACCCCATACAGGGATGGATTGTGAGTACGATAGAAGTTAATGTACTCACGTACTCACTGGTTATCTGTTTAAGTCTTGAGTTTTTGATGAATTGGTAAGATTGCCACGTGCTAAATTTATGCATAAATTAGAAACATAAAGACATACTTTACAAAGCTCAATTTACAGTCAGTTGTTAAAAAGGGTGGGAGGCCTCTCTTAGGGTGCAACTCGGGCGGGTGTAACCATAGGCGTATGAGCTGGGGGGGGGGGGGGCTGGGGGGCGGGCACCAAATGCTGGGAAAATTTGGGCACACAATTGTACTTTGTAAAAGTTGTATAAAAAAAATATTGTGTTCTTGAATGTGTCCAATTTAACAGCGAATTTATTATTATTATTATGTAACATACTAAGAACCTAACTACATTTTTTGGGCACCAACCACCACCGCCCCCAAGTCAAAAATTCCCCCGTACACCTATGGGTGTAACTTCACGTAATATAGGGGGCGCTAAAACTTTATTTTTTTAGCAGTAAGAGGTATTAGATACTAGATGATCGAGACTAACCTGGCGAAGAAATGTCAAAAAATCGTTATAAAAACTGTTAATAACTTTTTACAGTTAAAAAGGAACATAAAATTGTCCATGCGAGAAATAAAAGAAGCAAAATTTATGAGTAGCATTTGTGTGAATCAAATTAGCTACTTTGTAGGAAACTGATTAGCAGCGGGCAATATTTGATTCGTAAAGTGCGATGCGAACCCGGTTATCGAGACCCCTGCCGTTACCCATTGCTCAAGCATGGATCCAGGCATTTTGTCAAAAACGCTCCGGCAAATATTTTGTTATGCTTTGGTTTAGATATCTGTAGACTACTAAAAGGACAAGCATGTAAAAGTTTAATAACCATGCCCCGTGCATGACAGCTACCATTACGATGACATTAATATATAAAATATCCGTCTCTTAAATTTTCATTTCAGGTAATGGTCCAAAAATTGAGCAATATTACAAACACTACATTTCTGATAATAGCAATATCAAAACTGTTTACAACGTACCAGCTGAACACTGTATGGTGAGTTTATATCAGATCAAAAATTATGGATGAGCTCAAAAATGTATGGCACAGATGAAAAATATATAGCTTAGCTCAAAAATATATGGTTTCGTTCTAAGATATATGGTTTCGTTCTTAAATATATGACTCATCTAAAAATGTATGGCTCAGCTGAAAATGATATAGAATTATATAATAAGGTTACAACATCCCAGATTAGAATTATATGATGAGGTTACAACATCCCAGATTAGAGTCATATAATAAGGTTACAGCATCCCAGATTAGAATTATATAATGAGGTTACAACATCCCAGATTAGAATTATATAATGAGGTTACAACATCCCAGATTAGAATTATATAATAAGGTTACGACATCCCAGATTAGAATTATATAATAAGGTAACAACATCGCGGGTTAAAATTATATAATGAGGTTACAACGTCCAAGATTAAATATATATTAATGAGGTTACAACATGTCGGATTATAATTATATAACATGGTTACAACATGTCGGATTACAATTATATAATAAGGTTAAACATCCTATATTAGAAATTTATAATAAGGTTACAACATTCCAGATTAAAATTATATAATAAGGTTACAACATGCCAGAATAGAATTATATAACATGGTTACAACATCCTATATTAGAATTATATAATAAGGTTACAACATCCGAGATCAAAATTATATAATGAGGTTACAGCATCCGAGATTAGAATTATATAATAAGGTTACAACATCCGAGATTAGAATTATATAATAAGGTTACAACATCCCATATCAAAATTATATAATGAGGTTACAACATCCCATATCAAAATTATATAATAAGGTTACAGCATCCCAGATTGCAATTATATAATGAGGTTTCATCACCCCAGAAAAATTATATTATTAGATCAAATCCGATCATGCTTTACTTCGTGACTGATATCCAGTGAAAAAAAATGTCTTTCTATGTTTTATCAGCCGACGTCTAATTATGGTGGAAATTGTGGAACACTTAACAAAGACAATTACATCAACAACTGTGGATATTCGGCAGCATTTGATCTGTTAAATCATATTTATGGTGGCCATTTAGTTGTAAGTTTTTTATTATACTTACTTATTGAAATACGGAAAAAAAACGTAACATTAATTGTTTATTTTATATAAGAATTACACAATGTGAATGCAAAGTTTCTATTGAACACTACTATCGCGTGTTCTACAAAGCAAAACATTAAAATACAGGGGAAAAACCCATCAAAATTATTGAAACGCTGTTTTTAATTTGATATAAGAATAAGACAATGTATATGTATTGAGTTTTAGAAGGAATCCATATTTCAGTTGCTACTTTATACATAATTTATAGAATATAATTATGCTTTTATTTCAACAGAAACCGACAGATCATACAACGGCTAATGGACAGGTGTGTGCTTTAATAGTTTTATATACAGATTAGGGCGAATTTTATAGATTTTCAGACTATTTTGATATTTGGTTTAAACCGTGTTCCAGTATTCTCTTTATAACATTATTATAGATAGAAATATATTTTACACCATCACGATTTTAAGCCATTTGTTATCTAACTCTTGAGTTTATTTCATCAGCGGTGTGTTACTTTCCAGCTGTTGGGTTTAAGTGGTTTCCCATCGTTTTACTGGATACTCAATGATCGAACTCTGTGATTAAGCCGTTTTACAGCATTCTCAATGTTCGAATTCTGAAAGTAAACCGTGAGATTAAGTCGCTTTACTGTACCCCCAATGATCGAATTCTAAATGTAAGCCGTTTACGTTGGTTTGTGAATTGACACCATTACTTAACAGTAGGCCTAATCCAAATGTTATATCCTTGTACTTACCCTCGTTCCTATAATACTCCATTTTTTAAATGTTTTACGGTATTCTTTAATATTCCATTCTTTAAATGTATTACTGTATTCCTATAATAGTCCATCCTTTGAATGTATCTCGTATTTCGTTTGAAGCCGTGGTTTGGTATACTGTCTTGAACAGTATTTCTGTATTCCTATACAGTGGTTTCGAATCCCCGGTTGTACGTGAAAAGGAGTAGGGTCGCCTGCCCAACCTCGTGGGTTTTCTCCGGGTCCACTGGTTTCCTCCCACTGCTAAAGACCCCTACGCGCAAGCGAATTATTGAAATAAAATTTTAAATGATCTAGCTGAGTCGAGTGGACGTGAAACCCATCTCTCTCTCTCTCTCTCTCTCTCTCTCTCTCTCTCTCTCTCTCTCTCTTTCTCTGTATTCCTGTTGCTAACTACTGAGTTGAAGTCGTGGTTTGGTATACTGCCATGAACAGTATTTCTGTATTCCTATTGCCTACCACAGATTTAAATTCGTGGTTTGTTATATTGTCATGAACAGTATTTTCATATTTTATTTCAGTTACTAACGTTTAGTCAAAGTGCGTTTTTCTACTGGTCGTTACCATCTGTTTCTGGTATGGATACAACCGGTTATGTTTATATCCCAACTAAATGTGCCACTAAACAAACCAGTAAGTGTTTACAGTGATTTGTATTGCGGGAATACAATTGGTACATGTAATATCTTTACAGAGTTTTGTACTGTGGCGAACTGGGGCATGCAGGACACTTTTGTACTGTGGTTAACTGAGGCATTCGGAACACGATTAGTACCTACACGTATAAATAACCTTTACAGTGTTTTGCACAGTGGCGAACTGGGGCATTTGGAACACGATTAGTACACTGGGGTATTCAGAACACAATTAGTACCTATAATATCTTTTACAGAGATTCATACTGTGGCGAAACGGGGCATTCGAAACACAATAATTAGTGGCTATAATATCTTTACAGTGTATTGTAGGACGTTAAACACAATTTCATTTCATTTTCATTTATATTATTGTGACTAGATTTCGGAGCAAGTCGGTGGCCATCAGAAGCATCTGGAACACCTTTAAACCTATCATGTCAGTTTTGTAGTTTTGAAAAATAAACCAACCCAATGATAGTCACAGTTGGTACAATTAAAGTTATTCCAGTATGTGACCTGAAAAATCGTTCAGAAATATATATTTATATTGAAGATTCTTGAATTCGTTCTAAATATATAATTTTTAATTTGTTCTGAATACGTTTATATTTTCTTTTTCAGAATGTAAACTTCATATCGCATTCCATGGCTGTTTACAAGGGCGGTATGTAAGACGCATTTGTTGTTTTTTTTTTAAACTATTTTCTTGGGAAATGCTCTAACTTAAGGGTAGTGAAAAGGCTTATCCATATCTAAATCTGATCTCAATCTCCCAAATTTTTACATTTTAACCTTCCTTCCTTTAATTTTTTATCAGATACACAGTAAACAAAAGTTCAAGGGCCCAATAGAAGGAATACAGGGGGACCACGAAGCGGCTAATTTAGGGTTTTGTTCTAAACCCCATTCTGGATATAAATCAAATTTGATGGGAATGTGCCATGATGGCGTCGATTCGGATTTGTTAAAAAGGGAATGTATGTGAACACCTATCTTTAGACGTTTGAACACCACCTACTTTTCATGCCATCGCTTTAAATATTGGCGCTTATTTCTACTTGTTGAAATGAAGTTAGAATATGGGACCCTCATGTTTTCAACTACTGCAAGTGGTGAAAATGTAGCAAGCACCAAAACAGGTCTATAACCAATTGCCTTAATTTTATGTTACAGGAAAGATATATCATTGGCTGGCAACCCACGTTTTATATTACAGATGTGTATTGCAACGCATCTTTTATATTACAGACGTGTATATTGTTGTCTGGCAAACCACGTTTTATATTACAGATGTGTATATTGTTTTCTGGCAACTCCCTCATAAAATTACAGATGTGTAGATTGTTGTTTGGCAACGTATGTTTTATATTATAGACGTGTATATTGTTGTCTGGCAAACCACGTTTTATATTGACAAGTACGTTGTTGTCTGGCAACCCATGTTTTATATTACAGGAAAGCTATAGGAGATGTTTATGTTAAACACGCTGGTTATAATGAAGTCGGTGAACTAAATGACATCATAATACTCTACCCTCAAGCTATATCTACACCACTCAACCAACAAGGCTGTTGGGACTGGTTCGGTTATACAGGACCACTGTATGGTAAGTATTTCTACCCTCAAGCTATATATATCTACAACACTCAACCAACAAGACTGTTGGGACTGGTTCGGTTATACAGGACCCTTGTATGGTAAGTATCTCTACCCTCAAGCTATATCTACACCACTCAACCAACAAGACTGTTGGGATTGGTTCGTCTATACATGACCACTGTATGCCAAGTATCTCTACCCTAAAGCTAAAGCTGTTGGGGTTGGTTTGGTTATACCGGACCTTTTTGATAGATAATATTGCCAAGAGGATGGAAAATTCTATTGGTGGATAATTTTGCCAATATGATGGATAATTGGGAATATCGCCAATATGGTTAATTTCTCTTTAAAATGATAACAATGCCAATACGACCAAATGTCCTTTTGATGAATAATATATCCCCCCCCCCCCATTGAAATTCTTCTTTTAAAAAAATAAACTAAACTGATAATACCTATATGTTACAGTGTGGTTGAATGGCCGATTGGTTAGCACGTGCGCATTGTATCAGATCTGTCATTGAGATAACTGACATGGTTTCAATTCCAAGGTTGTACGTGACAAGGAGTATGGTAGCCTGTCCAGCCTCATCGGTTTTCTCGGGTCCTCCCACTGCTAATAAAGACCCCTACGCGCAGGCGAGTTATTGAAATAAAATTGTACCATATGTTGGTCATGATAGTTTGTGTCGAGTGGACGTTAAACCCCATTTCTCTCTCTATGTTACAGCAACCAAGAATGGGTTCCAGATAACAGCTGTTAGAAGAATGATTGACCGTGTATTGTAATCACTGGACTCAACAGGTCATATAAATCTCTGTTTAAAGTAAATTTAAAGTAGATTCTTTTTACCCACACAGAAAAAATACAAAGGTCTATTGAATAACACTATATAATGTACCTGTAATATATAACGTGGGTGTTTATTTTTGTGGTAATCACATACATTAAAATACCACACTCTCCATAACAAATTATCAACAATTATTTTTGTGGAGGTCTGGGTGGGGTGCTCGACTGTCAGTCCGGAACGTCCCAAATTGACAGAATTGCAATCAAGTGATATGGAATTCAGTCCTGTCACAGTTCTAACAGTTCCAACAGCTGAGGTGGTGTGAGTAGAATCGTGACCTATTTTAAGTAACAAAAATGTTTCAGCTGTCATGATTGGTCGATTTATTTTTTATGCACTCGACACATGCGTTGGACGGCAAAATTCTCCTTTTCACTCAATTGACACCATTTTTGGAATTGCGAGAATTTAATTCCAGAACGTTCAATCGTGTATCCCCGTTATATTAAACGGAATGGAAGCTTATAATTAACACATTTCCTCATTTCTGGTCGGTTCCTTTCAAAATGGAAAAACAAGCGGCTGCCAGGCAGGATACGCCCACATTTTCGAGAGATGCATAGAGAACAAGCTAAAAAGAAAGTGATTTTTCCTACAATAAAGGGCCATAATTCAGGAAATTACAATTCGATATGCGCAAATATCGAAAGGAACCGAGATCTTTGGGTTATAAACTTACATTTCAAGTTTCAACAAAATCGGATAAAAATTGTTACGGACGGACGGACGAACAGGGGCGACGACAATATATGTCCACATGAAAATGTGGGCGTATAAAAACTCAGTCGTTATTGTTGTGGTAATCACATACATTAAAATACCAAATACCACATTCTCCGTAACAAAAAATTAACAAGAATTATTTTTGTAAGTCTGGTTATATTAAAGGGAATGGAAGCTTATAATTAACACATTTCCTATGCCATAAATGGACCTCATTTGACCCAATTCTTGCCGGTTGGTTTCAAACTGGATTAAAAACCCTTGTCTTATCCACCAGTATCAAATCACAAAAATAATAACAATGGCCTTTTTTTGTTTGGATTTAGATGGGAGCTTATATAGCTGATTGTAAGTGCCAAGCATATAATTGTAAATACTATCACCTCCATGAAGGATATCAATGCCAATGCTACCCCAACCAAGAATGTAAATTCAGACGTTAAGCTCTAGTTTTTTTTCATACCAGACTGGGTGGGTTAATGGAAACCAGTATATGTCATGCACAGACAGTGGTGCTACAGCCTATTTATTTTGAAATACAAATGCCAAGGATTCGTTTATGTGCAAGTCGCTGACAAGAGGGGGGGGGAGAGAGAGAGAAATGGGGTTTCAGGTCCACTCAACACAATCTAGGTCATTTTGGGACTAAAACATGGTTCAATAATAATACAGAGAGAGACAAATGGGGTTTAATGTCCACTCGACTCAGCTAGCTCATTTCAGGACTAACATGTTTCAATTTCATTTCAATAATGCGCTTGCATGTGGGGGTCTTTAGCAGTGGGAGGAAACTGGTTGACCCTGAGAAAACCCACGAGGTTGGACAGGCAACCCTACTCCTTGTCTTGTGCAACCAGGGAATCGAAACCCAGCCAGTTGACTCAATGACAGACCGTATGATCCATCTCCCCCCCCCCCCCCACTGACAAGGGACTAAATACGCTAAATAATCCTGAGGTATTTTCTTGGCCAACACTAGGTTCGACCCTGGGACCTCCTGGTCAGTGGAGCCAACATCTTACACACTGAGCCACTGCAGCTCCACATAAAAATAACAAAAGATCACGAGGAATAAATAAGATGGGTGTTTTTTTATTTTATTTATATTTTGTTAAAGGCCACAATGTCTACGGACTGTACCACATCCTCAAACTTCGTTATTTCTTCTTCTAAAAAGTCTGTTCCAATCTGAAATAAGACAAATAAATATTTAAATATTATTTTTGTAACATAGCAATTCTCTCGTCAAAAGGCAACACCTAGTAACTCATGTTTTTCTTATTTTGAGAAAACAAAGGAAAACAAAATGAATGAATATTAAACCCCGGCTTATCCATTGATTTGACTATTGAGTTACTAGGTTTTTCTGTGGCATACTAGGTAAATGAAGGAAGTTGCCAGGTTGTGTCATGAGTGAAACTGCATACAAAATCAAAAGATTGGAATATCTAGTAGAACAACAGAAAGCACATACCCTAGCTAGTAACTACAAATTTGGTCCTAACTCAATTTTGATAAAAAAAAAAGTGAGTTACTAGGTGTTGCTTTTTGACGGGAGAATTGTAGAATCAGGTTAATTTTCAAAGGGAAACAACTCCCTTAAAGATGTATTATGTAAGATTTAGATAAAAAACTGAACGTCCTTGCTATAATACTACATGTACTAGCAAATGACCCGGCACTACATGGGTTGTGCCCATAACTCTGAAACTCGAAGCAGTATGCCAATTCCACCAAGCCTATGTTACTCCCTTGTCCGAACGTTCCCTATACCCTAAATTTCAATCTCGGGACAGCCCTAGTGTAGCCGCCAAACCAGAACAAACGGACAAACAACAGATATTAGTATAGATATACAGACAATTATTGTTGGAGGAAGAACGAAAAAACATAATTAACTTAAATATATTTCTCAGAGTTCCTCACTTTAATCTAGGAATCTTTTTTATCCGATAGAAAATAACTTGATAGTCTATCTTTTTTTTTTAAACAAAGATTCCAGTAAGACATATTTTTATATCAGATAGAAAACAACTTTGATAATCTTATGGTTCTAGAGAGAAAGGGGGAGAGATGGGGTTTAACGTCCACTCAACACAAACTAGGTCATTTTGGGACTTACAGATGGTTGAATTTTATTTCAATAATTCGCTTGCGTTGTAGGGGCCTTTAACAGTGGGAGGAAACCAGAGAACCCGGAAAAAACCCATGTACAAACTGAGAATCTAAACTATGTATACAATGTTGATAAATTTCTTACCTTGTCATCTTCAACAACACAATTAATCTGTAATTTATTTATACCATAACCAACAGGTACAAGTTTAGCTGAATAAAAAAAAAACACATTTTAATTGTAGCCTGTTCTGCTCCAATTGGGCTAACGATGATGGAGGAATAATAAAAGAAAACATTTCAATTGTAACTAATATATTAAGTCAATTATGAACATGTGACATCTGAGAGAGGGAGAGAGGTTTTTGGGGTTTTTTTTATAACCAATATTTTTATTCAGGTTGTCTGAATGGGGTTGAGGAACAGACTTTAACGTCCACAGGACACAATCAGGTCACTTCAGAACTAACATATGGTTCAATTTATTTTCTCACTTATTTGCCTGTGCATAGGGGTGTTTAGCTGTAGGACCCGTAGAAAAACGATGAGGTTAGGCAGGTCACCCTTCTCCTTATCACATACAAGTGGGGAATCGAAACCATGCCACCTGATTCAATGACAGACCTTATGATCTAATTAGCATGAGTTAAACCATATGGCCACCCACCTCCTCTCTACCACAGACAGTAATATGACTCTAAAAAACAACATGTGTTAAACCATTCGGCCACCCAAACCTTCTCTACCACGGACAGTAATCTAGCTCTAAAAGCCCTACCTGTCTTCCCTTCAAAAGCTCTATCCGTCTTCCCAAACAGTCCTACCCCTCTCCCCAAACAGCCCTATCCCTCTACCCAAATAGTACTACCCCTCTACCTAAATAGTTCTGCTCCTCTCCCCAAACAGCACTACCCCTCTACTCAAATAGACCTATCCCTCTCTCCCCAAACAGCCCTATCCCTCTCTACTCAAATAGCTCTACCCTTCTAACCAAATAGCCCTACCCCTCTACTCAAATAGACCTATCCCTCTCCCCAAACAGCCCTACCCCTCTCTACTCAAATAGCCCTACCCTTCTAACCAAATAGCCCTACCAATCTGACCAAATAGCCCTACCCCTCTATCTAAATAGCCCTACCCTTCTGCCCCAACTTGTTGAATTACCGCATCTGCATCTAGGTTTTTTCATTCAAGTAAATCAAAACTTACTAGCTCTATCCCCACTAACCCTACACCCTAAACTTACATGCAGCCCATCGTAGACCATCTGCTTCAATACTTCGAACATTTTGTTCTATTATTTTCATGTCTGTTTCATCATCCCATGGTTTAACTTCTAGGATTATACTACTCTTTGCAATCAGCACGGGTTCTAGAATAAATAACATATATATTTTATATAATACTACATGTAGGATAATACTGCTCTTGGTGATCAGCAAAGGCTCTAGAATAAACAAGAGAGAGAGAGAGAAAGAGAAAGAGAGAGCGTTTAACTTCCACTTGACACAAACTCGGTCATTTCGGGACTAACATTTTGCGTAGGGGTCTAGCAGTGGGAGGAAACCGGAGGACCCAGAGAAAAACCCACGAGATTGGACAGACGACCCTACATCTTGTCACGTACGGCCAGGGAATCGAAAACCACACCAGTTAACTCAATGACAGACCTTATGATACAGTACGCACATGCTAACCATTCGGCCATCCCCCCCCCACCCCCAGAATAAACAAAATATATACTGTATGATGCTACTTGTAGAATAATCGTAAAGTACATCATTTTGCAACTAACATATGGTACAATATTATTTCAACAATTCACTTGAACAAAAGGGGTCTTTAGCAGTGGGAGGAAACCGTTATTTGTCCTGTACAAGCTGGGAATCAAAACCATGCAACTTGACTCACTGACAGACCTTATGATCTAGACAATTACTTCCTACCTATTGTAATAAAATCTTTAATAGGTCATAGGCCAGGATTAATGAGAGAGAGAGAGAGAGAAAGAGAGATGGGGGTTAAGTCCACTCGACACAAACTAGGTCATTTTGGGACTAACATATGGTTTAATTTTATTTCAATAATTAGCTTGCGCATAGGGGTCTTTAGCAGTGGGGGGAAACCGGAGGACACGGAGAAGACCCATGAGGATGGACAGGCGACCCTACTCCTTGTCACGTACAACTAGGTCATTTTGGGACTAACATATGGTTTAATTTTATTTCAATAATTAGCTTGCGCATAGGGGTCTTTAGCAGTGGGGGGAAACCGGAGGACACGGAGAAGACCCATGAGGATGGACAGGCGACCCTACTCCTTGTCACGTACAACCAGGGATTCGATACCACGCCAGTTGACTCAATGACAGGCCTTATGATACAGCATGCACGTGCTAACCATTCGCCCCACCCCCATCCCGGATTAACGAATAATCGATAATTAAATGAGGCTATAACGTCATACCGTTCTGCTCCGACAAGGTTAATAAAAACGGGCCCATGCCATACAGTGTTCTATCGGGGAAATTTCATCCAGACAGAGGAGTTACCATCTATACTTATACCCAATTCCAACTGCCAGTGAATCTTTTCTGTGCTCGCCAAATCAGTGTACATGGGACCTTGTTTTTTCATCCCATCTGTACGATGATGAAATATGAAATAACAATTTGTAAATTACTTTTTGCTTTTCTGTTTGCGTAGTCTTCGATACGTTTCTTTTTTAGTTCTTCTTGTGCTGCGGTATCGTCATCATCATCACCAAACAGGTCAATATCATCATCATCATCGTCGTCATCAGCTGCTGCAGCTGCACTGGCTGTTCCATAAGATCCTACTGGCTTCCTTGTTCCAGGAAAACTGAAGGTAATAAAGATAGGTTGCCAGGCAACGAAACATACACCCACAGCGGCTTTATCATCTGAGCGGTCGACAAGGGTTGTCGCATATTTATTACTTTGTAGGTAATTTACAAGACAGTTCCATACAGATCAGATTATCATTTTTGCCATTTGAGGGTTCACAAGGTTCTACAAATTGAAACAAGGGTCTCAACTCTGGAAGTAATCTACAGAAATTGTTGAAATTTGACAGGCTTTTTCGTTTCACAAATTTAAATGATGCATATAAATTTCATACATATCGGATGATAACTGTCATCAATCTCGCATTAACAAGGTTGAACAAAGTGCAACAAGGAAAATAACTCTAGAAGTAATAAACGGAAATTGCTGAAATTCAATAGGATTCTTCTCTTCACTACTTCAAATGACACATGTAAATTTCATACAGATCGGCAGATAACTTTTGATGTTAGAGCATTCACAAAGTTCAATAAAGTGAAACAAGGGCCATAACTCTAGATGTAATAAACAGAAATTGCTGAAATTCAGTAAGCTTCTTTGTTTCACTAATTTAAATAATGCATAAAAAGTTCAGAAAGATCGAATGATAACAAGGTTCAATTAATTGAAACAAGGGCCAAAACTCTAGACGTAATACACAGAATTGGTGAAATTTAATAGCCTTCTTCGTTTCACTAATTTAAATAATGCATATAAATTTCAGAAAGATAGGATGATAACTTTTGGGGTTAGAGTGTACACAAGGTTAAACAAAGTGAAACAAGAGCCATAACTCATGGCGTAATAAATGGAAATTGCTGAAATTGAATAGGCTTCTTCGTTACCCTAATTTAAATATTGCATATAAATTTCACAAAGATCCGATGTTAACTTTTGGCATTAGAGCATTCACAAGGTTCAACAAAGTGAAACAAGGGCCATAACTCTAGGCGTTATAAACAGAAACTATTGAAATTAAATAGGCTTCTTCATCTCACTAATGTAAACAACATATATCAATATTGGATGATAAATTTTGACGTTATCGGGCTCACAAGAAATTGTGGATGATGGGACGGACGGACTAATGGACGGGGGCGGTGGCAATATACGTCCACAATCCACATTTCTATGTGGGCGTATAAAAATGATATGGTAAATTGCCAGACAACACAACAGACTCCCAGAGCAAAATATTATCATTGCTGAAATTCAATAGGCTTCCTTTATTAACTAATTTAAATAATGGACACAAATTCCAAACGCCAATGCCTTTCACACCAATGTGTACATGGGACATAATTTTTCCATCCCATCCAGACGACTATTGTCGCTTGCCAGATCCCCGTCCTGCACGACTGACATAGGGGAACCAGAGGCCTGATGTTGGTCATTTGGGATAGAGTATGGCCGAGACATTGTGGCGTAAAAATACACCTCGATTGCTGCAAAAATCACCTTTTGGGTCAAAAAACTATTAGAAAATACAATGATATAAGAAATCAAAATCATTCTGTATAAAAATCCATTTTTGATTTCTGGCACTAAAGTCACTGTGGCAGTTTCTGTAAAGCATCCAGCTAGCTACTGATGGTGAGCAATTACATGGTAACCTTGTGAGATTATTAGATGATATTTACCTTTTTCTTAAATCACCATAAGATTTGATGTGATTATACCAGCGAAGGGCGTGGGGTAGACTGGATGCTGGAGCACCGGTCAAGGCTTCAAAAACCACAGCATCGGCTGCAGATGGAGAATAACTAAAAAACACAAATATAAATCTTAATACATGCAGTAATTGAGAGTACTTCCACTTGGTGAATAATAGTAAGTGCAGGGGGACTGCACCACACATAATTTACACAAAAAAAAATCTACAGACAAGACATATTACACAGAACTCACAAACGCACAATTCAAATAAAGTGAATGGATCTGGGGGCTGACAGTAAGTGTCCACTGTGCTGCACAGTACCGGGCGTGCAGTGACACAGACTTCACTCAACATTGAAAACAATCAGGAACAAAACCCAGAGAAACCATTGTGTAATGCCAGCACGAGTCATGATCTGCCATATGTTACAAGAAATATGAATGTAAGCATATTGTTGTAAAATTTAACTATACAAGTAACCACATATAGGTGAAATGAATAATAATAACCCCCCCCCCCCAAAAAAAAAACAAAAAAAACAGGTAGTAATTTGAAATGTAGCCAAGGGAAATCAGCAATATGTTGAATCCTGCTGGTCCTAGATGGAAAGGTGGAAGTAGTCTCGATTATCCTGACGATTCCCTGTATTATATTTGGCAAATCACAACAAAAATATAAACTGGTTATATTCTAACAAGATTGATTCAGTCTAGTGTAACATTTCCTGAGAGCTTCGTCAACCTGCAGTATGGATGGACGATTTCTGTCACAAATGAACTGCCCACATGAAATGGGATTTAAAGTTTTTATCAGCCACTGATTAGACAAAGCGATTTGCAGTCGATCAAATTTTGATCTTTAACATCCATCTAATTCAAATTGATTACCCTAATCAGCGAATTTATTGACATCGATTTCCAAATCGATTACCCCGTATCGCCAAATCACCTTTAGGTGCAATTTGAACGGGTGATAACATGTTTTTTTTTTTCAACCATGTCCAGCCATAAGAATTGCTTACACTTTACTTTAACTTACAGTCAATTGATCGACTCATTTAACGAAATCGCCAAAGTGCTTTGAAATCGACTGAACTGTCATGACTTCTCCACTAATTAATATAAATTCAAAGCGTTTTGGCAAGCCGTTAAAACGCCTTACATTATATACGACCTATGATGTAACTATCTTCATATTTTGACTGACTCAACACATTCTTTTCACTTGTGAAATGTGAATGAATATTGAATAGCTAATGTGACAGTACAGTATCAGTACAAAGTACTGTAGTGTAGATAACTAGAAAATTTTGGACACTCAATTTCTTTCATTCTAGATGAAAATTCTGACGAAAATGTTTACCCATCAATGTAACTTCTGTCACCAAGGAAACTGTTCAAGGCCTCTAGCCCAGCTTTAGATTTTAAATCGCCAAAACCCATCTTTTTAAAATTAATCTGTCGGCACGATGAGAAGAAACGTGGTAATCGTTCGTCCTTGACCTTTGAAAAGACCGGAAGTTGTAAATTTACTAGACTCGTTCAACCAGACTATGGGATTTATTTCGAATTTTAAAATGATTGTTTTGCTCTTTTTAAAATGTTATTACATTTAAGAAACGCTGTTTACCGAAACTAATATTATTTTGTAAAATCAATGCAAAGGCCTTAGAACCCAAAAGACAAAGAAAGAATACTTTTCGCATCGTATTATTTGTTGTTGTGGTGGAATTTTAAGCAACCGGCGGCCATATTTGTGTCATTGAAAGGTTTCGAGTTTGCAACGCCAGGTTACTGTTGCAGACCAGTTTCTGCTAAAAGGTAATTGTCATTGAGCTATGGCAATGCAAAATAAATGATTATTTGGTAGCATAACGCTTTTAGGTCTAGGGTTTGAATACATTGACTTATTTGCATGATCTCACCGACTGAAATGGGTAAAATAAACCCATAAAAATTTGTTTTTTAATTCAACTTTCAAGTTGTTACGAAACAAACTTTACAAACTGAAGAAGACTAGTCATGTATCCGTCATGTCGATTACATGTCATTTGGGACTCACATCATTTGGGACTTGCGTCATTTGGGACTCAAAAAAATATGACCACGACATTTGGGACTCGGGTATACGACGTTTGGGACTTTGGTATACGTCGTTTGGGACTCGGGATAATTTATTAGAAATAGGACAATTCAAAACACGAAAGAAAATATTTATTAACATGAAACACGTGGTTAGTAAAAGGCTCAACCAAACGAAACATTAGTTGCACTTACGGTTCTTTGATAATCATCATTTCTCATAAAAGTTATATATTATTTAAAACGAATAATATGCTGATGAATTTATTTGAAAATGACCTACACAAAAAACAAAATAAATATTTACACGACATGCAATCTTTTTTTACAAACCCCTAGAAATTGTTAACGATATCTGTAAGCTGCATGTTGACATGCATTCCTCGACAAGCTTGTTGTAGATGGCAGTACCAATCGATAAATTAGTGCGTACAAGGCAAAGTTTTTTTGTGGAAAATATAAGAAATGGCAACGATCAAAGCGGGATAATTAAAGCTGATTAACTGATAATCCCGATGTTATTGCAGTATGTTCAAAGAAACCTAACGGTTCTTTGGTGGATGAGGAAAAACGTGAGTTGTCAATCATCGAGAATGGCGGCCGTGTGTTGATTGCAGTTATACCGTTTCACGAAAAAACATTAGCAGTGGTCGGTCAATCAAGCTCGTTTATTATTTGATAAAAGAAAAACAACGAAGTATTACTAAATATACACAATTAATTTTCAACAATATATTATTGTCAAGTTTTATACTCGCAGATAAAACAAAACAAAGGAGAAGTTTTATACTCGCAGATTAATCGCGGTCTCAACAATCGCCGATCAACTAAATAAAGACAACTAAGACAGCTGTTACTATATATCTCATAAATAAATAGTCCCAACTGTCGTTTATATTGAGTCCCAAATGTCGTTTGTGTTGAGTCCCAATTGATGCCAATCAAGTCCCAAACGCGTCAACTGAGTCCCAAATGTCGTTTATGTTGAGTCCCAAATGACGTGAGTCCCAAATGACACGATACCGTCATGTCGACGTAAACAACATCAACATCATCTTTGCCAAAAGGAATATGTAACAGGCGTTGCCCAAGTAGAGTGAAGCTGATTGTTGTCAAATGTAAAATCTTCATAATAAGGTTTCTCAAGTACAAGATTTTAATTTAGATGTAAATAAAATTGTATGAGCATTGGATATTTTTTTTTTAAAAATGAACAAAAAGTGTGAGAATTATTTTTACACGTGTAATCTTGCTTGGATATTTGATAGATGGGAGATAACTCTGGATAAGTTCACATAATAAGCATTGCTTGTTTTGCCCAGTCTATCCGATTCCGGTCTGATTTTTTTTTTTTAACCAATAGTCTGTGGGTGACAGTTTGGTGATGCTTGATTGTCAGACTTGAATGTTCCCAATTGACGGAAATTGCACTCGTGTGACACGGAATTCAGTCCTGTAACATATCTGTCATTCCGACAACTGAGGAGGAGTGAGTAGAATCGTGACGTAATTAAACACAATGAATATGTCCTATGTTTAGGGATTGGGCCCTACGTGACATTTCGGTCACCCATGAAATTTAAGACTTGTGACATGACATTTTGGATTGAACAAAAATTAATACTAAATTAATACACCATATTAAATAATACCCAGGTTAAAGTGTAAATATACTAACATACATGTAGGCATACATTGTACACAAAGACTGCAATCACAGCTTCAATTCTTACTTTCAGAATTATCAAAATACTTGGAGCCACGGTGGCTAAGTGGGTAAGACGCTGGCTCGCTAGACTGGAGGGTGCGTATTCGATCACTGCATTGGCCGAGAAAATTCATCGTGATATTTTCTGATGTGGTTTCCCCCTTGTCAGTGGTGCAGGACGGAGGGCCTGACAAGGACAGTTGTCTAGTCGTTCGGTTGGGACGGAAAACAGTTGGAATTCGATATAAGAAGACACCATAACGTTGTTGCCCAGGCCAAATTTCCCTCACAGTACACTGTATGGCGTATGCCCGTCTTCATTAGCCCAGTCAGGAGCAGACCAGTAGGATGTTAAACCTCATTTCATTTCATCAAAATACTTTGGTCTAAAAAATGTCAAACATGGATTCTAGAGATGCTGTAAAAGCCATTTGTGTATTTAATTGTACTGCAGTTCTACTGTATTGTTTGTTCTGTGGTGACATTCTGCATTTATTTATTTTATTTTTCAGGGAAAAATGTTACGATTTTGGCCATTGAGGAGAGCTGTCCAAGCACAGGTTCCTTTGACATCATTAGGTAATTTTCTGTTTTGTTTTGTTGTATGACTGTTTTGTATGGTCAGGGCATCGCTGTATTGTATGGTCAGGGCAATCACTGTTTTGTATGATTAGGGCATTAGGGCCAGCTGACTCAGTGGCAGAACTTATGATACAGCAAGCATGTGCTAACTATTCGACCATACAACCCCCATTTAATTTAAAGATAAAAGTCTGGAAAAAGCTCATTAGTGTCAAGTGTACATTAAAAATCATCTGGGACCTATATTAAGTATATATTACCTTTGATTTTTTATTGTATGTTTCAGTTCGACAGTCGTCAACACCAGCAGCTGTCCCAGATAAACTTGAAGTATTTATTGATGGTAAACCTGTTTATGTTGAACCCGGTACTACAGTATTACAGGTAACAAGTTAATATATTATCACATGTTGAACCATGTACTACAGTATTTCAGACCCCTGTTTCGCAAAGCATTGTCAATTCAATTACTAAATGCCTTTAAAACAATTTAAAGTTAAGAATTTACGCAACTTTCAATCACTGTTTATGAGAAATATCTTTGATCCAGAAACACAAAACTTTGAACATACTGTAAAACATGAAATTATTGCGACATGAAATTATTGCGAGTTGGGGTGGTGAAACATAATTGCGACATGAAATTATTGCGAATTTCTATAGTAGGGAAAAAATTATTGCGACATGAAATTATTGCGAATTTAAATAATTTTTTTTAGTAAATTTGTCTATAAAATGTGGTAGATTGTTAATTTTGAGGTGACAGTCGGCTCTTCAAAACATCGTTGATTGGTGATCATTAGTAACAGCAAATAGTGTAAACTTGTCATTTTGTACCAACCTTTGATACTACTGTCTACCATCGTGAGGCATTCGATAATATTTATCCATTTTTGTGAAGAAAATCGATGAATTAATTTTATTTTATCCAAAAAGCACATGAACAAAAAAACACCGCTAATTTTATCTCCTATTTACAGGGGGTGTAACTCTGTATGTAATATTATAGGAGGCACTAAAACGTCTGTTTAACAATAAAGTGGCCGCTTTTAAGGAGTGACCGTTGAATAAAGAGATGAAACAACAGAATTTTTACGGGGGGAATTTATCGTGACCGTTCACAAGGAGATTCGCTGAAAAGGAGTGGCTGCTCATACAGATTCTAATGTACTTATTGGGACTCTTTCTTGTGAAGAGTAATGAAGGGGGAGTAATTCAATATGGCCGACATTTTAACAAATTTTCACGAAATTATTGCGAACATGAAATTATTGCGAGAGGGCCTCGCTCGCAATTTTCGCAATAATTTCATGCTCGCAATAATTTCATGTTTTACAGTAGTTTCTTATTGATGTATTTGATACATTAAAATAACAAAGTTTTTAAAAACGGCAGTTAAGATGAGGCGAACAATTTTGAATAAATTCTTAATTTAAGTCTGAGAATGTTTTGTGAAACCAGGCCCTGGTAAACTAACGAGTTAATCTGTTATGTTAAACCTAGCACTACAGTATTACAGGTACAATAATAAGTTAATCTATTGGATCGTTGTATATTTTTCAGGCATGTGCAGCAGGTGGAGTTGAAATTCCACGATTTTGTTACCATGATCGATTATCTATAGCGGGTAATTGTAGAATGTGTCTTGTAGAAGTTGAAAAATCACCAAAGGTATACAAACCCTTAAATTTAAACTTCTAAAATCTGGTTTATCCACATATTTTGGACCATGATAAGAAACATCTTTTACTGGAATCTTTACTTTAAAACAGATTGACTATGTTAGTCCAAAAATAACTACCGGGTAGTGAATTTTTTAAAAACCTAGGCTTGACCAATTTCAGTTACAGCATTAGCATTATGTTTGATTGAAAACTTTGTTATACGATTTTAAGATAGTTTATCAAGTCATTATTGGAGTCTCTGCTTTGAAACGGACTATCAGAAATATCTTCTACTGGAATCTTTGTCATTTATCAATTTATTTTCTATCTGATATAAAAATATGTCTTACTGGAATCTTGGTTATAAAAATGATAGACTATCAAGTTATTTTCTATCTGATAAAAAAGATTCCTAGATTAAAGTGAGGAACTCTGAGAAATATAAGTTAATTATATTTTTTCGTTCTTCCTCCAACAATGAATGTCTCTATATAGTATAATGCTACTAGTCTGATGGGTAATGACAATCTAATGAATGAGTGTAATGGTAATTAATTACATTGCTAAAAATGAGAAAGTAATTGTAATGGTTATGAAATTTAATTACAATGGCTATGTAATGACTCCTAACCCCGGTCTGTAATGTAATGCCAAGTTTTTTATTTGTAATATTTTAGCAATTGGGAAATATATTTTAAAAAAACACAGTTTTATTGGAAACAATCACTAGATTTTATTCTAAAAGCACAACGTTTTGACTAGTATCCTCCTCGTAATATTATCTTAATAACGATAAACAGGAACTTGTTGAAACGTTGTGCTTTTAGAATAAAACCAGTGATTGTTTCCCATAAAAAAAGGGTTCTGTTAATTTATTATATTTATAATCTATATTTAAGCCCATTGCATCATGTGCTATGCCTGTAATGAAGGGAATGAGAGTTAAAACTGATTCACCTGTATCAAGAAAAGCCAGGTAAATATCTTTCATCATCTTCTATATACAGGTTTTAGTCATGTCCCTATAAGGTGTAGGTTAAAGGTCAATAAGTAATGGGTTACTACAGGTCCATAAGGTGGGGGTTACGGGTCAATATGAGGATATCATGACATAATATATAAATCGTTACAGGAAGTAATGTACCACAGGTTGAGACTCAATTATCAAATAATGCAACTCTGAATCTGATAAATGATACTGGATGATCATACATTCTTATCAACATGAGATAACAATCTGTTTCACAGAGAATTATGAAAATCTTCTAATATCTCTGTAAGAGATGACTGCCTTCAACACATGACGTCACATCACGCAGCGTCCATCATTGGCTCAATGGCACGTGCATTGTTTACATAAGATGTTACTGGTTCGAGCAGAATGATGCCTTTTACTCATTTTAATACCTGTTTACACCAAATAGGATATCATTTTTACCTACATACATAAAAAAGATGTTTTGGAATTTAAATTGTCGGAGGAAAAAGGTTAATATTTGTGACTGATCAGTGTAAGACGAAATAAAAATAATAAAATAAAAGCTGCCCTCCCCATCTATTTTTTAGACAGGATTGTCTGAGAACCAGAATAATTATTTTTTAATGGCCTTATTATATATTTTGTAGAGAAGGTGTAATGGAGTTTTTATTGGTGAATCATCCATTAGATTGTCCAATCTGTGATCAGGGTGGTGAGTGTGATTTACAGGTAAGTTGACAGCTGACACTGTAACCCAGCTAATTTCTGTCACATTCATTCACTGTGTCCAGTTTAAAGCTGACTTGGGAGATTGGATGGCCGAATGGTTAGCACGTGTGCGCTGTATCATAAGGCCTGTCATTGAGTCAACTGGCGTGGTTTCGAATCCCCAGTTGTACGTGACAGGGAGTAGGGTTGCCTGTCCAAAACCCGTGGGTTTTCTCCGGGACCTCCGGTTTCTTCCCACTGCTAAAGACCCCTACGGGCAAGTGAATTATTGAAATAAGATTAAACCATGTTAGTCCCGAAATGACCTAGTTTGTGTCCAGTGGACGTTAATCCCCATCTCTCTCTCTCTCTCTCTCTCTCTCTCTCTCTCTCTCTTAAAGCTGACGTTTTATTTGGATGAGTGTCCAATTTACAAGCATTTAATTTCACCACCACCCAGTAAAAAATCTTTACATTGAAATAGTACATATTTTTGACTTGAAATAGTACCTGTTTTTGACTTGAAATCGTTCATGTTTTAGACTTGAAAACATACGTATTTTGACTTGAAAACGTACATATTTTTGACTTTAGATTGTACATTTAGATTTTTGACTTTAAATTGTACATATTTTTGACTTAAAGTAGTAAATGTTTTTCACTTGAAATCATACATTTTTTCGGTTGTTATTTTAGGATCAATCGATGGTTTTTGGCAGTGACAGAAGTCGGTTTACAGATGTCGCTTTCACAGGAAAAAGGTAATAACATTTTCAAACTTCTTCAGACATTGAAAAATGGTGACCTAGATTTCACAGGATTTCTGTTTATTGATACAAGTTACAAGTTGTGTGACTGTAATGGCTGTTGTGTACATGACATGGGATGCTTATTTTTTTCTAGAACACCAGATACCAGTTAGTCTAGATATAATATTGATAGGTGTTGAGCATGAGACATGGTGTGCCAACACTTTTCATTTCTCTGTGCCGGAATGAATATTACTTCCAAACATGTAATGATTACCCGAATCATGCTTGTCATCAATGCCTAATTATCATCAGGCTTGAAAGGCTGATGCCTATGGCCTGGGGATCTAGGTGACCAGCGACGTGCAGGTGTATAACTGCTTGTCAAGGTTTAGTGATGGGAATATATAAGAGGGTCAATGTTTTGACAAGAAGATCTTATATATATTTACAATGTGTATCTTGTTAACCATTTGTTAATAAGAATTAATACTTATATTTTCCAGGGCTGTAGAAGATAAAAATGTAGGACCATTAGTTAAAACTATAATGACCAGATGTATTCATTGTACCAGGTGTATTAGGTGAGTTAATGATCAGGTGTATTAGGTGAGTTAATGACCAGGTTTATTAGGTGAGTTAACAATGTGAAGCCGATATAATTCAATCCTGCGTATTCAGCATTTTTTTCTTTAACATTACCTCAATATCAAATCCTTAATTGAAAATGTTAAAAACAGGTTAAATTCAAGTAAAGTCATTCGTTTTTTATCCAATTTACTACCGTTGAATTTCCCGACAAGCATTCAATTATAAGCGTCCCACTTAATTATCAAACCTGGTCAATAATTAGCTGAACTGTTCTAATTCCCAAGCCGTGATTAAGAATAGTCAATGTGTCCAATCATGCAACGTGTTCATTTTTGTCAGGTGAGTTAATGACAGGGTAAATAGAACTGCAAACTGTAAAGTATATTTATTTTCCTTTTCACAAATTAAATCCAAAAATATCCTCAAACAAGTGAAACTGGATAACAACTAGAAGTTGTGGAGCCCACCTGCTACTATTATTGGAGGCGACCCTCTTCGGAAAAAGCCTAAGACATGAAACTTGCTGTGCATGTTCTTTGGACAATTTCACATCGATATACAGACGTACCTCGATTCCAAGATGGCTGCGATGACATCATACTGAGTTCCTGGTCCATTGTATGCTAGTTCTTGTTATGTCATGGAATGTGTATGATAGAGATAGTTATTTCCTATAAATAGAACTAGTTAATGGAATCTGTATAATAGAGACTGATTATTATATCTCCTATAATGTACAGGTCACAATTCTATGGAATACAATTACTGCTTATTACTGAGCGCATTTCGACTAGGCTTCTCTAGTCATTATTAAGCCTAGTCGAAACGTCGCTCAGTAATACCCAGTAATTGTATTCCATAGAACTGTCACCTGTATACTCTAGTTAAATTACTAAATGCCATTGAAACAATTCATTTCCTATAAATAGAACTCTGTAATGGAATGTGTATAATAGAGATGAACTATCAAGTTTATACTATAAATAGACCTCTGTAATGGAATCTGTATAATAGAGATAGACTAACCAGTTTTTACTATAAATAGAACTCTGGAATGGAATCTGTATAATAGAGATAGATTGTCAAGTTTTTTTTCTATAAATAGAATGGAATCTGTATAATAAAGATAGATTATCAAGTTTTTTTCTATCTGATCAACCGATTCCTAGATTAAAGGGAGGGAAGCTGAGAAATTGATTTTAGTCGATTCTGTTTTATTGTTCCCCCTTCAACATTTCAACTACACAAGTCTATTTAACGCTTAAAAAAAATATGAAATGAAACACTAACCTGAAGGTCCCATGTTCCATCTCTGTGTTGGCTGAGAAACTTCATCAGGATTTTCTGGCGTGGTTCCCCCTTTTTAGTGATTCAGGACAAAAGGGCAGGGCAATTGACAAAGTATAGTCATTCGATTGGGACAAAAAGTGAGGAACCGGGCACATATTGGCATGCACATTAAAGATCCCTTGGCAGTTGGAATTTGATATAATAGTAGACTGTTGCACCACTGTCTATGTCTTCATTAGCCCAGTCGAAGTAAGACATTAAATCCCATTTCATTTCTTATTAACTAAATGTTCCAATTTCAACATATATAAATATTTATTTGTGTTATTTTCCAGATTTGCAAGTGAAGTAGCCGGTGTAGATGATCTAGGTACGACAGGTCGCGGTAACGACATGCAAGTCGGAACTTACGTCGAGAAAATGTTCAAATCAGAATTATCAGGAAATGTTATAGATCTATGTCCAGTCGGTGCTCTCACGTCAAAACCCTACGCCTTCACCGCTCGACCCTGGGAAACTAAGTAAGTACTATATCCTTCCCTCTCGACAAAACCCTGCGCCTTCACCGCTCGACCCTGGGAAACTAAGTAAGTACTATATCCTTCCCTCTCGACAAAACCCTGCGCCTTCAATGCTCGACCATATCTCTTCACTGCTCGACGCTGGGGAACTAAGTAGTGTATCCAGTTCACGCATGAAAACCCTATGCCTTCACAGCTTGACCCATGGAAAGTTAAGTAGTCTACTTACTATATCCCCCCATCCCCCACCAAGTCTAAACCCTACACCATCACCATAGCACACCTTTATCATTGAACAGATATATAGCACACCTTTATCATTGTCCAGATATATAGCACACCTTTATCATTGTCCAGATATATAGCACACCTTTTGAATGGTTCGGATATATAGCACACCTTTTGAATGGTTCGGATATATAGCACACCTTTATCATCATACAGATATATAGCACACCTTTTGAATGGTTCGGATATAACTCCACCTTTCTTCATTATATGAATATATCTGTGTTATTACAGGAAAATAGAGAGTATAGATGTAATGGATGCTATTGGTAGTAATATTGTCGTTTCCATGAGAACTAATGAAGTTATGAGAATTATACCAAGATTAAATGAGGTAGGTTATGTAGCAAGTTACGATGTAAACTATGTACGTGTGATCTTTTAATAGGGGAGCAGGGATGTTGGATGTCCAAATAGTTTAGAGCGTGTGCATTAGATTATAACATCTGTCATTAAGTCGACTAGGGTCGCCAGTCCAACCTCAGGGGTTTTCTCTGATTTCATCTCACAATGTCCCCAACACGCACTCTGATTTCCTCCAACAGCTAATGACCCCTACGTGCAAGCAAATTATTGAAATAATACTTAACCATATGGTTTTCCCAAATGACCTAGTTTGTGTTGTTCGTAGGTTAAACTCCATTTTTCTTTCTCTTTTTTTTTATCTGATTTATTCAAATTTTCTACAGCACTATTAAAATCATATCTGAACTATGGATTATATTTTGTAAATATAATAACATGCCCCTTTTTATGTAGGAGATCTGACTGTTTGGGGAGAAAATACCCCAGGAATTCCCACGAAGTGGTGCAGGAAGATATTGACTGGCTTGGAACAATGTCTATTCGTTTAGATGGCTTGTACATAAAACAACCCTTATCAGTTGAAATTTGAAATATGGCAAGGAGTAGTCCAACCTCGTGGGTTTTCTCCGGGTCCTCCAGTTTCCTCCCACTGCTAAAGACCCCTACGCGCAAGCGAATTATTGAAATAAAATTAAACCGTATGTTAGTCCCGAAATGACCTAGTTTGTGTCGAGTGGATGTTAAACCCCCTCTCTCTCTCTCTCTCTCTCTCTCTCTCTCTCTCTCTCTCTCTCTCTCGATTTTGTTTTTCAAATTTAATGTGAAATAATTAATCTTAGTAAATATTAATTAGCGTGGATTAAACCATGAGAAATTTGATATTATAGTGAAAAATGGAAATGACACAGTACTTTAACATATACACTAAGGAAATGAGGCATTGCTATTTCAATAACATTATTCACTGTACATAGATCATGCGGTCTATCTATGCTTTTAATTTTGACCCAAATTAAAAAGATTTAAACATTTTAATGTTGATTTTTTCTGTGTATTACAGGATGTCAATGAAGAGTGGATATCGGATAAAACAAGGTTCGCGTACGATGGATTAAAACGGCAGAGATTAACAACACCATTTGTTCGAGGTCAAGATGGTAATCTTGTTGCCACAGATTGGGAGAATGCTTTTATTGCTGTGGCTGAGAAGGTATTTAATAAAAATATAATCACGTTGAATTTCATACACAATTAAAGATGGATTATATAAGAACTAAATCTGCCTATTGCAGGTCTTTCTTTTGGCTTCAATATTTAGACCATCGGATGGCTGAGATTTCAATGGATTGAAACATGGTCATCATTTATTGATCTCTCTTCAAAATAGTGAATGGAAACTAAGTCTCAAATAACAAGTACCGTTGTTCTGATAAAAAAAACAATGTATTCCACATCTTGTCAAAGCTTCTAATGCTGATTGATTAATCAATGTCATAGGGTCAAAAGCTGCTCGTATGACCCCTGACACAACCTTTCAGTACAGCTTGTCATATCTACATGTAGTGTAGGCCATCAAAGTATGAAAAAACAAAACAAAATATAGATCTGTTTTTTAATTAGATTGATTCAAGTCAAAGTGTTACTATCAATGTTATTATGGATTATAGCAATGTGTGATTGGTTGGATTCATTATTGATCAATGCTTGATATATCAAACTTGATAAAGATACATGTACAGGTATTGAAACGTTGCATGTAATAAATCTATAAAGTTGTGCTATTATGAATGTTATACCTCTACTGCTATCTGTTTGTTGTAGTTAAATGAAGTATCTGGTGAACAGGTTGCTGCTGTAGCTGGTGGATTGGCTGATGCTGAATCTCTTGTAGCTTTAAAAGATTTCCTCAACAGAATGGGTAGTGAAGCTTTGTGTACAGAAGAAATATTCCCAATGGATGGAGCAGGGTAGGTTTTAAATAAATAAATAAATAAATGAATTACGTTTAATATCCTATTCTCTACTGACTGGACTAATGAAGACGTGTGTGTGAGAGATTTTTTCTGAATTCCGATTTTCAAGGGTTCTTTTGTGTGCTTCCAAACAGGGTACTTTGTCATCCATCCCCATGATCTAACACTCTACCTCCTTGTTTACAGTCAGCACCTTTCTCACTGAGCCACCACAGCTCTCTGATGCATTCAGGAATCCTTGAAATATGATCATGCTTGAATTAATAATCAAATTCAGGAGACAATTGACATTATATTAACATATGTGTTAGTATCTGATCTTTGGCCGATTATGGTTAATTGTTAGGTTGTTAGGGAGCTGTAGTCATATCTAGCCTAATGATATAAGAGATTAATTTTTAAAGTTTCTGACTCTGTTCATTGGTATCGAGAGAACAACTATTAAGCCTTCCTGTCATGTGTAGAAAGGGGTATGGATGACTACAACTGCTTATTTAGTTCATTTCCAACAAGCTTAGCGAGTGGAGGACATTAAACCCCATTTCTCTCTCTCTCTCCAACAAGCTTAGACAACAAATTACATGTATTCATCTCAAAATGACAAAGTTGAAATTTAAAACAATGAAAAATTACATGAGTTGAAAAAATGAAAATTACGTAAGTTGAAATAATGTACAAAGTAAACAATTACAAAGTTGAAAAGATGTCAAAATTAGACAGTTGAAATGATCAAAATGACAAATTACAAAGTTGAAATAACAATATCAAAATGACAAATGAGGAAGAAATTTTGAGAAAATGAATTTTTTTTGTTTTAACAGGACAGATTTACGATCTAACTATTTATTAAATACTGGTATATCAGGTGTTGAAGAGGCAGATGTTTTATTATTGATTGGTACCAACCCACGATACGAAGCTCCTATATTTAACGCTAGAATTAGAAAAAGGTCAGTATCACATCACTACAATTTGGATATTGTTTAGTTGTGCTGTTTTAGCAGGAGTTTCTGTATTCAATGTTTAGTACATAACACTGCAACCTAGATATTGTTTAGTTGTGCTGTTTTAGTTGGAGTTTCTCTATTTACCATAATGTTTAGTGGTGTTGAGTAATGAATTGGGTTTGTTAATTTCTCAACATAGCTAGTGAACGTAAACCCAACAGTCATATTATTAGCCTATTATTATTATTATTTTATTAATTAATACATTTATATAGCGCATCTTTCACCGAAGTGTTCAGATGCGCTTAACAATAACAAAGTAAAATACAATTTATAATAAAAAAGAAGTTCTAAAAATTCAATTTATAATAAAAAAGAAGTTCTAAAAATTCAATTTATAATAAAAAAGAAGTTCTAAAAATTCAATTTATAATAAAAAGAAGTTCCTAAAAAACAGTTCCTAAAAATAAAAAGTAAGAAGAGAGAGACAATGTAAAAATGATATAAACTTTTTTAAAACTAGATAAAACAGTCAAAGGTGTAAAATCAGTAAAAAGCGTGTTTGATTAAATGAGTTTTCAAGTGCGATTTGAATGTAAAGCCTACAATGGTTTGAACATGATTATTAAATACAGTAACTCCAACTAAAACAGCAAGACATGATATCAAGTTGTGTCCGAAGAATGTAGATTCTGGTAGACATTCTGCTTTAAGGGGAGGCACTGCTCGACAAATATGAATTTTAAAATAACTGGCTTCTAATAATGCTATCAACTTGAAATTGTCAGGAATTGTTCACATCGACAAAATAGGCTAATCGGCAGTTTTGGGGGAATCTGCTTTACTGGTTACCATGGAAACAAAAAAAAATCATTTTTACTGCTTAAAAAAAATCGTTCTCTGAAAGTATCAAAGGTAGAAGCCTGGACCTTTTTTTAAAATGTTCCTAGGACATTTCTCTGTGCAATTATCAATATAGTGTTGTTATTGTGTCCTTACATGTCATTCTATATCAACAAAACAAAAATTATGAAAAATGTTGTTTTCAATGAGAGATTTCAAATGCCAATTTACTACACTAAAAATTCATTTAGAGTACTGAAAATCCTTATTTGCATGGAACTAACATTACTTAAGTATGTGTGTAAGTTTCAGACATATCTGTTGTAAACTTTTCAAGAACGATTTTTTGTAAGGTTGTCGACTGTTGATATTTTACTTTTTGAGAAATTAAGACATAAAGAGGTAAAACAGCAAAATTTGAATTGCAAGAGTGTTGAAAAGTGCATTTTTTCTATCATAAACCACTTAATATGTATTTTCTTTAATTACAAGTGAAATAAAAATGAATGAACATCACAAATATGCAAATATAAAAAAACAATAATTTGAGTCAAAATTGACATTTGTCGACCCTTGCCTCCCCTTAATTACAAAACAATTTTGGACTGTTCTGAATTACAGGCCCGGCACTTAAGAGCGCTGTGGATGCTGAAGGCTGGCCCCCAAATCCTTTCACTAGATTCAATTTTTGTTTTTTCTTGTAGTTTGTCTGGTTCTCAGGTTTGTATTGTCGGTTTGGTTTTGTGTGTAGTCCGGTCCAATAATTCCTGCCAGAGTTATGGCCCTTGTATATTTGTTATTGCACTTGATGTATCATTATATTTTATTATTACAGCTAGTTTAGGATTATATTTATTACAGTTAGTTTAGGATTATATTTGTTATTACGGTTGGTTTATGGTTATATTAGTTATTATAGGTTGGTTTATGATTATATTTGTTATTATATACTATTCAAAAAAAGTAGGGGATATTTGATTTTGGGGGCATAATACTAAAATATGCAAATGACTACGAAAAAAGTCACTATAGAACCTAACAGAAGAAACATTTCCAGTTACATGTGACGCCCAAACGCACCAATAGCTACCGCATGTAATGCAGGTGATGCTTGGGATCATCATGGGGGTCCAACCCAAGATTTGCACGACTCTGACTTTGAATGTTACAGTCATTGTGGCATTGAATTCCAGGGTGGAAACATCAGTTTAATTGTTTTAGTGACCAGAAAACAAATTTTGATATGCGTCGGCTTACCCAAAATGAAAGGTTACGTGCCCTTGGCATGCTACAGATCGGCACAACACAGGCGGTTGTGGCGCGGACGATGAATGTTTCTCAGTCTGTCATAAGCAGGCTATGGTCCAGATACCGTGATACACAATCTGTACAGGACAGACCACGCTCAGGTCGACCAAGGGCGACAACTCAAGCCCAGGATCGATTTATCCGTACCTTGGCCTTGAGAAATCGTGTCATCACAGCAAATCAGATCAGCGCTCGTCTTCAAACAGACACTGGTGTGAGAGTGAGTGACCAGACGATTCGGAATCGACTGCATAGGGGTCACCTTCGCGCCCGACGTCCTCGCGTGATCCCTTGTTTGAGAGATCATCACATTCAGGCAAGACGTCGTTGGTGTAGGGATCGTCAACACTGGGATAATCGACGCTGGAGCAATGTGATGTTTTCAGATGAGTCAAGGTTCACTGTTGATTTTTTGGACAGACGTAGGAGGGTGTGGCGTCGTCGAAACGAGCGCTTCCAAGACGTTAACGTCATCAGACATGATCGATTTGGGGGTGGTTCTGTTATGGTGTGGGGAGGCATCACTGTTGCTGGAAGAACGGCTTTACATGTTGTTGCAGGGCGTGTTACAGGCCAGTACTACCGGGACAACATCTTGGCAGTCCATGTTGTGCCGTTCGCACGACGTCATGGCCGCCGTTTCATCTTCCAGGATGACAACGCAAGATGTCACAGGGCCAGGATCGTTACAGGTTACCTCCAACAACAGAACATCACCACATTACCTTGGCCAGCACTGAGTCCCGACCTCTCCCCCATCGAGCATGTCTGGGAAATGCTTGGACAGAGGTTACGTCAACGTCAACAACGTCCTGCCAATGTCCAAGAACTTGCTGCTGCGTTGCAACAGGAATGGGACAATCTGGACCAAAATGACCTTAGACGTCTCATTAGGAGTATGCCACGTCGGATCAATGCTTGTTTGGCAAACAGAGGAGGATTTACCCGTTACTGACTTGGTTGTGATGCTGTGGTAACTTTGCTGTTTGACCCCGGGTATCATTTTACCCTTATAATGGTCAGTCTGTGCCTTACTTAGTCTAACGATCATTTGGAATAAATCAATGAATGTGAACTTCATTTCATTTTGTAATTTGTTTCTTCGTCAGTTTCATTAGATGACTTTAATAACACTTAAAAATCAAATATCCCCTACTTTTTTTGAATAGTATAGGTTGGTTTATGATTATATTCGTTATTATAGGTTGGTTTATGATTGTATTTGTTATTAAAGCTGGTTTATGATTGTATTTGTTATTACAGCTGGTTTATGATTGTATTTGATATTAAAGCTGATTATATTTGTTATTAAAGATGATGTATGATTATATTTGTTATTAAAGATGATGTATGATTATATTTGTTATTACAGTTGGGTACATAATGAATTACAAGTTGGTTTATTGGGTTCTCCAGTAGATTTATCATATGAATATGATGTAAGTATACAAAACTTTATCTACGCCAATGTTAAATACCCCTTAAAAACCAAAACACCCTGTAAAATGTATTAAAACCCAAACTAACCTTAAATACCCTGTAAACTTTATCCTGTATACTTTATTGAAACCCAAACCGTAAATACCCTGTAAAATTTATCTGACCTAAATCTATCGTAAATTAGCATTTATTAGATGATGCATTGTGTTCTGTTTGTGTTCTGTTTGCGTACACTTTAAACAACCAATTAAAACGCAGCTTTTCCAATCACATGTAGACATTGTCCACTGACGTTTTTGTTAATTTTATTTCAGCATCTCGGTGAATCAGCATCAGAATTAGAAAAATTAGCCTCAGGAAGTCATCCCTTCTCTCAGGTTAGTCCGTTCTTCTATAATTAAGCGAATTACGGTAACTCCCCCGGTTTGTGAAAGAGAGAACTTTCTCTAGTTTTAAACAAATTAACGGTTGATTGAATAACATTTGATGTGTTGAATTATTATAAATGGTCCAATAGATATAATTTATACATGTTGTGTTGAATCGGGTGTTCCATAGAAAGAAATGAAAAGGGGTCTAATGTCCTACTGTTCTGCTCTGACTAGCATACACCATGTAGTGTGCTATGATGGAAAAATTGCTCAGACAGCAGCACTAATGCCTACTTTTATATCGAATTCCAACTACTATGGAATCTTTTACGTGCACGCCAATGTGAACACGGGACCTCAGTATTTTGTCCCATCCAAATGACTATTCATTGTCCCTTCCAGATCCTTGATCCACGCCGGAAAATCCAGATGAAATTTCTCGACCGAGACCAGCGTCAAACACAGGTCCCCCAACATCTTTCTTACTGAGCCACTGTGGCTACCTTTCTAGAAAGACACCTGTTGCTAATTATATAGCTGTACCCTGGATTTCATCAGGTTGTTCGGATAGGGGGGAATCATGTGGCTAGGTGGGTAAGACGCTGGCTTGCTAGCCTGGAGGTCGGGTGTTTGATCCCTGCATTGGCCGTGATAGTTCATCCAGATTTTCCGGCGAGGTTTCCCCTTGTCAGTGATGCAGGACGGAGGGCCTGACAAGGACAGCTGTCTAGTCGTTCGGATGGGACGGAAAACCGAGGTCCTGTGTACATATTGGCGTTCACGTAAAAGATCCCTTGGCAGTTGAATTCGATATAAGAGTAGGCCGTAGCGCCGCTGCCCTGGCAAAATTTCCCTCATAGCACACTGTATAGCGTATACCCATCTTCATAAGCCCAGTTTAGGAGCAGAACAGTAGGACGTTAAACCCCATTTCATTTCTGTTCGGATAGGTTATATATATTGGAAAAATAAATCTTCAAAAATGTCTGCGATAACTGTTAAATAACTGAACCAATACCCTTGTTTTTGCTGTAGTTTAAACATGCATTATGCAATAGCTAAATCTACCTATTGCAGGCCTTTCTTTAGGCCTGAAATGTTATCTAAATTATTACTTAGACATTAATTAACTTATCCAGACCAAAATCAACTCTAGATGGCAGTGTTAGCCTGCGATATTTACTGGATTTGAATCCGATCTGCTGCTCAATGCTTATTGATGATTAAATCCAAAAATGAATAATCGAGACTTTTTTTTTATCATACCGACTTAAGTAATGATGATCGAAGCTAGGCCTAATATTCAATCGCTAATATCTCGGTTTCAGCAAATTGCCTTTACATTATCTAGTTTTTAACTATTATAGTAAGAACTACCAACTCTTTATCTAATCTCCCATAATGCATCTTTAAATAACTCAACGAATACCCTTGTTTTTGTTGTAGGTTTTGTCGTCTGCTAAAAAACCTATGATAGTTGTTGGTAGCGCCATCTTACAAAGATCTGACGGAGCTGCTCTACATGCTGCAGCCTCTCAACTCGCCCAGAATCTACGGGTGAAATCAGGGTGTGGTGAAGACTGGAAAGTTCTAAATGTTTTACATAGGGTAAGCATGTTCATTTATTTCTACCTTCGTAGTTGTTTGCACCTGGCTGTAACGCAAAAATATCCCAGGTTCAGTATAGGGCATGCATCAAGTGGAACCTTTCATTTACCCAATATATAGCTGACAGTATATAATATATTACAGGTAGCCTCTTTAGATATAGGTTATAATGTAGGTGTTGAATATATTACAGGTAGCAGCGTTAGACAAAGGTTATAATGTAGGTTACTAGGTGTTGAATATATTACAGGTAGCAACGTTAGACATAGGTTATTATGTAGGTGTTAATTATATTACAGGTAGCCAGTCAGGTAGCAGCGTTAGATATAGGTTACAAAGCAGGTGTTGATTATATCAGACAGAATCCACCAAAAGTTTTATATTTACTTGGAGCTGATGAAGAGGCCGTAACTAAACAAGATTTACCTAAAGATACTTTTATTATTTATCAAGGTAAAATTAATATACTTTCTCAGTTATTCCGGGGGGTTTGATGGCTGAATGATTAGCGTGCACGCGCTGTATCATAAAGTCTGTCATTGAGTCGACTGGCGTGGTTTCGAATCCCCGGTTGTACGTGACAAGGAATAGGGTCGCCTGTCCAACCTCGTGGGGTTTTTTCTGGGTCGTCAATTGCTATTACAGTAGAGCAGGCAGAAAGCAGCTGCCGTACATTAAACAAGACCCGATTTTACCTCTGATAATTAAAACTTTTTCTCTATTCTTGGTCATTAAAATTACTGGTTTTAAGCTAAAAATGAATGAAATAATATTTTATTATTATATTGTATTGTGTAGGTCACCATGGTGATAGAGGTGCTTTAATGGCCGATGTGATTTTCCCTGGAGCAGCATACACCGAGAAAGATGTGACATATGTTAATACAGAAGGTCGTGCTCAGTTAACACGACAAGCTGTAACACCACCTGGTCTAGCTAGAAATGATTGGAAGATAGTTAGAGCTTTATCAGAGGTACTTTCACTCAGAATCTTTTATACTATACACAAAAACTTGACTATATCACTGATGTTGTTATTATACACAAGAACTTGACTATATTGCTGATGTTGATATTATACACAAGAACTTGACTATATCACTGATGTTGATACTATACACAAGAACTTGACTATATCACTGATGTTGTTATTATACACAAGAACTTGACTATATTGCTGATGTTGATATCTTCTGACCTCATCTGTTCTACAGCCAGACACTTACAGGCTTTTTCTCTTCTGGATTTTCTCATTAACATATTAAACTTTCTGTGCGTCAATTACACTTTTTAGGGAAATATCTAATTTTCCTGGGCATATTCTCAGTTACAATCTAAACAAATCATGTATTCAAAGATGCATTATGTATGATTTTCATAAAGAGCAAACAGTTCTCGTTATAATAGTTAAAAATAGATAATAAAAAGGGAATATGATGAAACTTTAAGTAAATTTACTTTATTCTGAGGGGAGTTAATCATTGATTGTAGAACAGTGTTGTCACGATTGTTATTGCTACCGTTGTAGGGGATTACTGGACAAAAATTAAAATACAGGTTATAGAAACTAGAATAAAATAAAATATATTGTATTTTACATGTAGATTATGGGTATGCCATTACCGTATGATAAAATACAGGATGTACGAAGACGGTTGGGAGAGGTGTCCCCTAATTTGGGTCGTCATGGTGATGTTGAAGAAGCTAACTATTTTAAACAAGCACAACAATTAGCTCAGGTTGGTTTTGTTTAACATACATGTAAATTTATTTTCAATAATTCTGAGATTTGTCTTCTGTTCTAAACGAGGAAACAATGTAGGCTCACTGACCTAGATGTTTCGGATTCACTCCCGTTGTTGACAACTGTAGTACTCTGTCAAAAGTTTTAAATCTTTTGAAGCCGCAGTGGTTCAGTGAATAAAACGTTGGCTTGTTAAACTGAAGATCCCGTGTTCAATCCCGATGTTGACCAAAAAAGTTCATCTGGATTTGTCAGTGGTGCTTGCCAAAGGACAATGTAGAGTAGTTTAGATGTTACGAAAAACCCAGGTCCTGTGTATACATTGGCCTGCACATCAAAGAACATATAGTAGTTGGAATTTGATATAAGAGTAGACACAGAGTTGGGTATGCTAGTCTTTATTAGACCAGTCGGACATTAAACCCCATTCCATTTCATCTCGATTTTCCGGCATGGGTTCCCCTTGTCAGTGATGCAGAACGAAGGGCCTGACAAGGACAGCTGCCTAGTCGTTCGGATAGGACGAAAAACTGAGGTCCCGTGTACACATTGGCATGCACGTAAAAGATCCCTTGGCAGTTGGAATTCGATATAAGAGTAGGCCGTAGAGCCGCTGCCCGGGCAAAATTTCCCTCATAGCACAATGTATGGCGTATGCCTGTCTTCAGTTAGCCCAGGTTAGGTGCAGAAGAGTAGGATGTCAAACCCCATTTCATTTCATTTCATTTCCATTCCATTTCTGTAAAAGTTGCTACATGATTTTTCCTCCCACTGCTAAAGACTCCTATTGAATCATATAGGTGCGAAATGACCTTCTGTGTGTCAAGTGACCTTCAACCCCATTTCTCTCTTGCTATTTAATTTAATTCTTTACATTTGTTTTACAGTTGGTGAAGTCGTCACCTTCCAATGAACCATTATCACCACCTATCCAATCTTTAAAAGATTTTTATATGACCGACGCCATCAGTCGTGCATCACAAACCATGGCTAAATGTGTACAAGCTGCTACAGAGGCTGAAAAATCGAAATATTGAAACAATGACATCGCTGTCGTAGAAGTTATTTATTGAACTAATGGATTTACAAGATCAACACATATTTGTTTAAGAACTTGTTTCAATGTAGACAAAGGTGTTGATTACTGATAATGGAACCCTAAAAATTTGAGAAAAAAAATATTTGAAAGAAATGTGCTTTGATATTTATTCTATTGTCTAAACAGAAACTGTAGAAAGTTAATAGGATACTCAGAGGTGTTGAGTTATCTCCCCCTCGTATATTCTATGGTATATATCTCAACTGAATCGTAGATGTACACACAGTAACTAGTAACCTGGAAGTATAATTCTGACAAGTACACATTCACTGAGTAACCTGGAAGTATAATTCTGACCAATACACAATCACTAGCAACCTAGAAGTATAATTCTGACAAGTACACATTCACTGAGTAATCTGGAAGTATAATTCTGAAAAGTACACAATCACTTGTAACCTGGAGGTATAATTGAAAGTTTTGCCGAGTGTTAACAGATATTTGTATCAAATTGTGTGAGATATTGTTTTATGAAGATGATGTTATTATTTATGTATATAAAAGACTTTATTAGACAAACAACTGGTTTCTGAAAGATATTGTTAAACTTAGTGCTAAAATTAAGATTTTAAATATTATGGATGCGAATTTCAATATTTGACTGTTGTCATGGAAATGGAATTATTATATTATCTGAAGTGTATCTGTAAAAACATGGTCTGCATTTTATAATTTCTATAATATTCAAATTGTAAATAAATTCTAAGAGAAATTTGTTATTAATTTTTGATTTTGACAGGGGGACTTCAGTAGGATCTGGGATGATTCAAGCCTTGTTGACTGGGGTTCTGCTGTAGACATCACTAACGTGGTTGAAGCCTTGTTGAGTAGGGGCTGTGGTTGTTGTATGGACATGCATTATAACTAGAAGGGTTTAAATCTTGTTGACAAGGGGACTGCAGTGGTTGAGTAGACATACCAGAATGGCTGAAGCGTTGTTGGTTGCAGTTTGGCTCCAGCATAGACGTAGGGTCTGATGAATGTTAAGAAAGGGTGGGGGGGGCTGAAATGCCCGATCAAATTGTCATCTCCGAAGGCGCCGGGTTTACTGCGTAGGACCCCAAGAAAATTTGACGGCTGCATATTCCAGCACGTAAATACGGCAATTTGGACAGGCCACCCTACCCATTGTCACGCCATTTGACATAATGGCAGACCTTCTGATTCAAGGCACACGCGTTAACCATTCGGCCACCCAACCCCCTTCCCTGAGCTAGCCAAAAAACTTCATTGGGATTTTCCGGGTGGTTCCACCTTGTCAGTGGCGCAAGACCAAGGAGCTTGCAAGGGCCAACGTATGGGACGAAAAATCGAAGTCCTATGTACACATGATCATACACGTAAAATATCCCTTGGCAGATTGAATGCGATATAACACCGTGACTCTCATAGCAAGCTGTTAGTTCCGAAATGATACAATGACCCGATTTGTGTCGAGTAGACGTTAAACCTCATATCTCTCTCTCTCCGACGCTGGAATTGAACACGGAACCTCCAAGTTAGCGGGGGGTCGCGTGGCTAAGTGGGTAAGACGCTTGCTCGCTAGCCTGGAGGTCTGGTGTTCGATCCCTGCATTGGCCAAGAAAGTTCATCCAGATTTTCTGGCCTGGTTCCCCCTTATCAGTGATGCAGGACGGGGGGCCTGACAAGGACAGCTGTCTAGTCCTTCGGATGAGACAAAAATGTACGTAAAACATCCCTTGGCAGTTGCAATTTGATATAAGAGTAGGCGATATTGCCGCTGCCCATGCAAAATTTCCCTCATAGCACACTGCATGGCATATGCTCGTCTTCATTAGCCCAGTATAGGAGCAGAACAGTAGGACGTTAAACCCCATTTCAAGTACCATTGCTAGAATAATAAACAAAGTCTTGATTATCCATATGAACTTAAAAGTTTAATTCTTAAATGGCACGGTTGTTCTTAGCCATCCATTACGGACTTGCCTTTTTCATGAATTCCTAATTACCGTATATAACCTTTGAAGCCAACAGAAGACCTGCAACAGGCATGATTACCGTATATAACGTCTGAAGCCAATAAAAGACCTGCAACAGACAGAATTGGTACTTGTATAAGGCATATTTAACTTCATGGAAAGTGGTATAAAATGTTATAGAAAGACTAAGTGTATCTTGCCTTGTACACGACACGTATAGCTATTTGCAGTGCCCCCCCCCCCCATTAGCCATCGTCACATTTTTTGGCCCCAAATAATACTGGATCTCAAACCTCACCATATCACATAAAAAATTCCGTCCATTTGCAAACACAATTTTATAAGGCGTAAGAAATCGGTTTTACCAAAATTATCTTGAAAAACTTTTAAGTTTACACTTGTAGAAATTATTTTGCTCACATATTGTTAGTTGTTCTTAGTATGTACCAGGTTGGCCACACACAAACAATTACACAAGATAGACCTAGGGACATGACACAATATATAGACATCTCAAACAACCAACGTATATATCAGTAAATTGATTCCGTTCTTTAACATCCTGTCGTTTATCCTATGACGACTTCTTTCATCTTCAGCGCAATTTTATATCACTTATATTTACAGTAGCCTGCACAGTAATTATCTTGTTATCACGAATAAAACCATACTTCACATCCTGAATTACATCCCAGTCTATATATACACGATTGTATACATCACCAGGTTGACAAGTATAACCACCTGGTATACATGTATCTGTACTTTGTACAACTAGCGATTTACTCTCATCATTGATATTTAACAGTTTAACTGTAGAACTAAATGTAACAGTTTCAATAGTTTTATCTACTTTCTTCAATAACAGGTAAATATATAATCTTGATGCTATATGACTAACACATACACACCATGGTAATCCTTGTATTATTACAACAACACTATCGTACTTCACACCTACCGTCACTATCTGGTTCAAACTAAACCTACTGGTAAATGTTGTTGGTGTTTGTACTTCACCTAATAGTCGTTTTAAACAGTCTACATCAACCTCCACCATAGAATAATATGGATGTCTGACAACGGGTTGACGTAAATTTGTTGATATGTTGTAATCTGTCGTTGCCTGGAGTTCTGCTATTCTATGTTTATCTACAGCTGTAATTATAGATCTTTGTTGTAATGTACGATCAGAATATTCACACCATTTTCTCATGTTGGATGCCAGCTTGTCAACATCTTCTATTAGTTTGGTGAGTTTACTGTTTTCATCTTCACCAATTTTATTGATGTCATCTTTAATTGTTCTTCCAATCTGCCTGGCTTTTTTACAAATATTGTCTATTTGTTTCTGAACTTTATCACAAGCTGTCTTACATGAACGTTTCATGTCAGATATTTTGGTCTTTAAAAAGTTAGAATGGTTCTGTAACTGTTTTATCTTCTTTTCTGATTCCGTTTTCAGTTTCATGAAAATTTCTCTCATTTCCTGGTCTACTTGATCTAAATCCGCCAATGTGTGGTCTTTATGACCCACCATAACACAAACAGAACAACATGGTTTACGGCAATCTCGACAATAAACTTCGATTTCTTGCTTCTTGTGTTTTGTACAATACTGTTTATCATCATCGTCGTCTTCTAGATAAAAGTTGGTAACAAACTGACTGGCACCGCCTGATGGTACGTCGGTTTGTTGTCGACAAACAGGACAGTTAAACTTGTTCCTGCGAGCCCGAACCTTGATGTATCCATCTATACATTGTTCACAGAAAGTGTGATGACAACTTGGCAGTAGTTTGGGTTTGGTAAAGTTATTTAAACAAATAGAACAGGTATTTTTAGTAGCCATCTTAGTCCACGTTATACTGACTATACAATATAACTGAGCTGTAATGTTATTATATCCCTGTCTAAACCATGGTCTAACTGCCTTGCTTGGTGTTACTATACTTTAAAGGGGCGTGTTCGTGTCATACGCCGTAGTTAATTTGTTTTGTGCGTTCCGTACCTTGAATTAAAACAGAAGAGAGAGTTTAAGTTCCAATACTGTATTGTGTCAAATCATAATAAAATACAAAATCAATACAATATATCTACAATGAACTATGAGTTATAAAAGGATGGGGGGAGCTAACTCACTTGGCTGTGCAGAGGCACTATTTGCAAATCACATTACGTGTGTAATTGTAGGAGGCGACACGTGTTCCTGATAGGCGGCGTAGCTGCCGATTTGTCATTTAAACCTAAATTAGTTGCATCTAAATTTAGCTAATCATTTGCTCGTTTGATTTAGCTCTTAAAGCTTACATATGCAATTTACGCTCATACATGAAAAATAAATATGATTTAGCGCGCATATTAAAGTGCAGCCAACACTTTTGAGCTCAAACTGAACATTGACTAACGAATATAATTTGCGAACCATATGTTGCCATGGTTAATACGTAATGATAAAATATAGTATAAAAGGGGTTAACGAATATTTACACGTGAAATAAAAATAAAACTATGGCTGTCCAATATCTACTAGTAGCCTATGCTTAAATAAGTCAATAATTAAACCAATCGCAACTTGTGGCGTGTCATAAACCTGTTTTTCTGGTCTTAAATAAGTTGTGGGAGTGTTTTATATACCCAAAATATATAAAGCCTAACAACAGACCTATATATGGTAATATGTTCATTTTTAAAGATAGGTTCCCAGAAAAGTATTTATCAGGTGGTTATTTCCAATAAAAGTATGACAATTTTGGTATATATGGAAAGTAAATATATCCAATCTTACTAAAAAAATTTTGGATTCCCTGAAAAACACTCATGGAGCGTATACAGGACAAAAATGTCAGGGTTCCCCTAATCGACAGCCCGACGATTAGGAACATCTGCAAGCGTGATGTCAAAGGTTGCACATGGAGATTGAGCGATTGATGTACACCACTTTCTGAGATAAAAATCACGGGAAAAGACGCGGACAGCGGGTAATCCGAGAATTGAATTAGGTTTCGATATTTGTAATAAATAGTCAGCGGTTAAAGACAACATCGTCTTATGTATGCACCCGTAAGTCAAGTGACACCCACATGGCCTCTTTTGATCGATTTTTATAGCAAGGGTATTCCTTGACAATTACAATGTTTTGAAAGGATTTGAAGCAAATTTATGATAAAGTAATTAGTTTGAATATGTTTTAGGCCAAATATATCATCAAATCACCAAGTTTGTACGCGAGGATGTATCTATAACGATAAGCCTATATATGGTAATATGTTCATCTTTAGTCCCTTCTACGTTACATTCATCGTGAGAAATCTCTCACCCGTATTCCAACACCCGGATTCGGACTCAAGCGCCAGCCGCCAATATATTTACAATTTCACACAGCGTCTCCTTTATATTATTATTGACATACTTATTCAACAAGGAAGTTACTCAAATATCTATTTTGTTTTTACACATGTGACGGCGTTAAGGAGCATAAAAGGTCTGATATTCATTTTATTCGTGCAAACCAGGAAGGTGTTAAGATAAAAATAGATGTTCATACAGCAGTACCAATTATCATCATTCGCGCCAGGAAAACGCGTTTGCGGCCGTCAAATTTTTCAAATCATCTTCGCACCTCCCTCCCCGTTCCCCCGTATCGAATTGAATTAGGAGATGAAATCCTGATATTTATGATTAGAAGATAAACCATCAGTTGATATAGGCCCAGTGTGGGTGTTAGCATTTGTATTAACTTGTTGAAAATCTTTGAATTTAAAAAGTCTGATAATAACTGAATGATCATGATGACCAGTCTGATCAGATGATAACCGAACAGTCATAGCAACGAGCCTGATAATAACCAAATTGTCATAGCAACTAACCTGATAATAACTGAATGGTCATAGCAATAAGTCTGATATTAACTGAATGGTCATGGCAACCATTGTCAGACCTACGTTGAAATGAAATTTACTAAATAATCTGTCAATTGTTTGGTATGTATGTTTTAGGTGTAGGTGTTTTAATATGTCATGGTTAAATTTCATTTTGGTTGACATAGAAGCAAGATTTTATTGAGATATTCCCGGAATGATGTTACGGGTCTACGCAAGGAACATATACCTTGAGCAGATCTGAATAGGTTCTACGTAAGGAACATAATAATTATTACCATGAAAGTCTCGGTCACCGAGTACCTCCTAGCCTTCAGCGAAGATGGGTAATGAAAGTCTCGGCCACCGAGTACCTCCTAGCCGTCTACGTATAGAGACTAGGGAGGGTAATGACTGCACTTGATTATCATTACACCAGCTTGTCCTGGACAAAAACATGTCGGAGATTTGCACAGATTCTGGAGAAAACGAAGCGGACTCATATGTTTGTTTAATTAATTCTGGATGCAACATCCAATCCATTTCCACCAGGCCCGGATTAAGCGGGATGCGGACCAGGATGCAGCCAGGAGCAGCGATGTTAAAGGTGTCGTCATAATTTATGATTTGATTTATTATGTTGTACCAAATAAATCTATTCATCAAACATTAAATTTGTGTGTGCAACGGACAATGACCAGAATATGCACGTTTTTAATGCTGACATTTTCAGACATGAGAATTATGCAAACTTCCACTGATTTCCACTTACAGATTAGATTTCACAGCCGGATTAATATTAATATACTTCCACCAAGTGTCAATGTTATGGCTTAGATATACGTCAAATCTGTTCTAGCATGTGCCCCCCTCCTCTTCTCGTCTAAAAGTTCCCATTGTTTGGTCTGCCTACCCTCCATCCGAGGCCCCATAACTGACAAATTGATTCTATAACAGTTTATTGACTACATGTCAAATTGAAAATAGAAATATCATTTAATATGAAATAGCCTTTAATCATAATAATCTAACAAATACATTGTATACGGATTTCTTTGTAAACTGTAACCTAAATCTTTATTATGTTTGTCTGGTGGTGAGTTGTTTGACACATCTTAATTCAGTGACGTTTTTAGTGTGAATGAGTTTTCTGGGAAATTTTACAATAACATGATTCTCTGGAATAATCTACAATACCTGTCAGTCAATTACCGTGACCCTATTATTATAGGTCAACGTATTATTCCTCTAAATATACTTAAAAAAACTTATTAATAGCTTTTCTAGGAAATTTAACAATGACACCTTTCTTAGAAATAATCAACATTACTGGGTCGGTCTATATGAACATTTAAGAGGTAGTAACACAGTAACTTGATCTGCATTAACATTAAATGGGTAGTAACACAGATGTTTGGTTTATATTAACATTAAAGGGGTAGTAAAAACATGTTTGGTCTATATTAACATGAAAGGGTAATACTATAGGGGTGCTCTGTATAATAAATATATTGAAGTGGTTAAACAAATGGGTGACAACGAGAACTGGGCAAAGTAGGTATTTTACAAGATTTAAGTTTCTTAGACTAACTCACTCACAGTTCCTGCCACCATAAATTTCTAGATGACCTGGCGCCTGGTACGTTCGGGCATTTTTATGCGCGAACTCTTAGGTTTTTTTTTACTGGCATGCGCACAGGTACTATTTCTTTTTCTTTTAACAAGTACCCAAATCGGGGATTTCGTGCGGAGGTAGTTCGGAGGTAAACAGTCTGTGAAGTACAACACTTGCCACTGTACCTGTATATCGCTAATTATAAACCGAATGTGTGAAGACAGTTCATACATATCACTCAAAAATTTTTCAGTACAAACTCAGTTGATTCACGCTCGATTTGCTACTAAACAAACCCATCGGTTTATTTTCTCAACAGTGTGACCCGAAGTGACCGCGGATTTATTGACCTTGTATGAACTTATCCATAGCTATATCCTTACACCGAGAGAAATTATCTAGTCTCGGTGAAAAGAACCATGGTCATCTGGTAGAAAATTACTTTTGTATTTTTTGGAACGGAAAACAGTGTTTTTAGAAGCAAACTAACCTGCCGCACATGAGGAAGTCATTATACTAATAATAAAAGGCGAGACCTCTTTTTGCGGCGCAAGCTTATCACTGAGTAGTAAACCGTCCAAAAACAATAATATAGGAAGCCTAGTGACGAGTGTAGTACTGTAAGTAGGCTATAGACTATAGGCTTGAGTCGAGATTACTCGCTTTCAGTTTACTCTGTTTTTGCGATAACCAATTATGTGAGAAATACCATACTGACATTCGGTTTTTAAAAGTTGTACGCCAACTAAATGCGTTTGTTAGATACTGACAGAGCAGCCCCGAGTCGAACAATCGCCGCCCGAGCTGTCTTCGTCAGCTAGTTTCACAATATCGTGCAATAGGTGTATTAATGTGATTTTTAGGTTTAACCCCGCAAACAATGCCAAAATAGTGTTTTCACTGCTTACAGAAAACTGAAATTTAAAAAAAAAATTTTTTATGAGGGTGACCCTCCCACACACTCCCTATCGAGCTGCCGCTCGGTCTGCGCAGCTTCATGCCTGGCACATACTGTCAACATTGTATATTTTTCCGTTTCCGCCCTTCCCCCCCACAATATATATTTTACGGCTACGTTGCGACGGTACCAGCATACCCAGTTGTTGACACCCATTACATCACTCCTGTCTAACAAATCATAAAGCTGTGGTGTTACGGTGGCGGCATAGTATTTCACCGTAACACCACAGCCACTCTAACCATTCATAATACATCTAACTATCCCTTTACAGCACTTCACTCCCTACACATTTCCCCTCGTCCTACTTTCCCAAACGTCAACAACACATCTCATACATCCAGTTCGCTGATTAACCCTTGTACCACGTCTACTGGATGACCTGGCGCCTGGTACGTTCGGGCATTTTTATGCGCGAACTCTTAGGGTTTTTTTTACTGGCACGCGCACAGGTACTATTTCT